CTTTTCTTTATTTTCAGTTCTGCGACTTCACCATATTCTTCTATTTTTTAAAATTAACTTAGGTCCAGTTTCTAGTAGCTCTTCTAATATAAAAACCAAATCATCCGCAAACACCTGTAACTTATATTTCTCTTTTTTTATTTCCAGACCTTTTATTTCTTCATCTTGTCTAATATTTCTAGTTAGCACTTCCAAGGTCAGTATAAATAGTAAAGGGGACAGTGGATATCCTTGCCTTGTGCTTTTTTTTAAATATCAAAATTCTCTATCATGTCCCCATTTACCATCACCTTAGTTCATTGTTTGTGATATATTGCTTTGATCGTATTAATAAGTCTCCCCAAAATCCATGAATTTTAATTGTAATTACATAAATTGCCAATTAATGTTATCAAATGCTTTCTGTGCGTCTAGAAAGATCAATGTCATTTGTTTTCCAGGATATGGAAAACAAGGATGCAGCTCATATTAGAGACTTTTTGTGAAATAATATGGAAGAAATCCCCCCCGGGGGAACTTATGCCACTCTTAGCCCCCTCAACTGCATCTTTCGGGAGGTCTTGCAGGACAGGCCCACCCAACCATCATGGTATAAAATTGAGTGCAGCCTATGGTGTTGGACAGGTAGGTGGGAGGTAATTTTTATTGGGGAGGGTAACTCTGGATGCTGAGCCCTACCCCTCAATTTCACAGGAAAGAGGAGCTGACATGGAAGGAAGGGCACCAAGTGGTGCCATTTCTTAGTAAGCGTGGGCACGTCCCATCTCCCAGGAGAGGCTGGGGGAGGAGGTGTCACTCTAAGGCTCTCTTCATCAGGGCCAGCAACTCTGAAAAGTTTCCCATGTGATAAGATGGCTGCAGGAGGACAGGTAGAAAATGGACACTGTCCTGAGTTTGAGGGCCAGTCCTGGCCCTTGCAGCAGCTGGTGTACTTCAGCCTAGCTTCAAGACATCTTGTTAGGCAGAGATGGTGGTGCAGCCAGTGCGCTCTCTCTCTCTCTCTCTCTCTCTCTCTCTCTCTCTCTCTGCGTGTGTGTGTGTGTGTGTGTAGGTGTGTGTGAAAAAATGAGAGCTCTGGGCATTTTGAGCAAAGGAGGGAGGGGGGTCAAACCTGCAGCATAAGAGAGGGAGGCGGAGAAGGAAGGATGGAAGGGCTCATCTGGCCCTGTATTGACCAGAGCTGTGGCACCTGGCCAGCCAGCCGGTCTCCATCCTGCCCCACATGTGCTGTGCAAAGAGGCCTCTGTGGGGAAGGCCCACAAGTGTGTCAGGAGTGCCCCCCCCCCATTCTCCAGATTTGGATCTTGGCCTGGTGATGACATGTAGCAGCAAGGAGGGCCGGCCAATTATGATAAGCCTGGGCAAAGATTACTTTTTGAACATCAACCGTACAAAGTCAAACGTTTTGGGGGAAGAGAAACATGCAACTTGTGTTTTGGAAAGTATGGGGAATCTAGCAGTGGTGAAATTGAGCTGGTTCTATCCAGCTCGGGCGAACCGGTAGCGGCGGTGGCAGGAGGCTCCGCCCACCTGCCCGGATGTCATCGCGTCCCATTTTTTATTCTCTGCGCGTGCACAGAAGGCTCTGCGCATGCGTGGAGGAGGCGCGCACGCTCACATTTGTGAACCAGTAGCAAACGTAAGTAAATTTCACCCCTGGAATCTAGAAAAGACACGGAGTCAGGCGCAGGTGCTCTAAAACCCATCCTTCCCTGTTTCCAGGGCCAGCCTGTGGGGGTCCTGCTTCCTCCCCCCCCACCCCCGATTTTGCTGCCCACCCTTGGAGCTGTTGCAAATCAGGAGCTGCCCAGATGCCCCTGCCCTTCTGGGGATGGGTGCGAATGAAATTATTTTTTCCCAGCAATTTCCAAAGATGGTTTTACTACATGAATGAAATATTGTTGATGATTTTTAAACATGGTTTCTTCTTGTTTTTATCTGGATTGTTCACCACCGTGAGATCTATTTATAGTTTGGTGTACAGAAATGTTAATAAATAATTCATAACCTTCTCCCTCTAACAAAAATGATTTCTTGTGCAGTGGCATTTCTCAGATAGAAGCTCCTCCATTCTCCCACCGAAGGAAGTCTCCGTGCTCTATTGGGGAATGAACCTCCCGATTCTAGGCAATCCAGGAAGACGCTCGGCTCAGCTCTTCTGCGATGGGAAGGGCAGGGACTCCCCACCTGAACCGGCCCTCTCTAGGCTCCCTGTCTCAGGGCCTCCTGGCCTGAGATGCCAGCCAAAGCCCCTCCAGACAGAATGGGAGCAAAGTCTGTAGTGGGGCAGAAGCTGAAGGTGGCCCCGAGTAGCAGCAGGAGCCCAGTCGAAAGCACCAGGAACAGAATTGTCTGGGACTGCCTTCCCATGGCTTCCTGTAGTGTGGGTGGGTGTATAGTTGTGCAGAGACCCACAAGGTTCTGTGAATGGGAGCGCAGGGATACACTGAAATGCTGAGGAAGGCCTGGGCTTTTGAGAGCCCATCTCAAGCTGGCAGAGGAGGGACCATGGAGGAGTTGAAGCCAAGTCCCTCTTTTCCCTGCCTCCAAGGAGCTCCTGCCCAGGAGAAGGGGGAGCCAGAACCCTTGAGTGAGATGAAGACCCTTCCTTGCCCCTGGGTCTGGACTGCAAGGGGGGGAGGGCAAAGTCAGTGCCTTACCAGGAGTTACTCCAAGGAAACCAAAGAACATTTTGGCCACTGGGTTTGGGGGGTGGGGGAGGGGGTTTTGGAGGCCCAGGGCTTCCTCTGAATGGAGGGAGGGAAGGGGGTGAGCCTGCAGCACTTAAAAGCCCTGGCCTCTTCCGAAGACCTTGGCTGGCTGCCGTAGAGGGTCTGCTGCTTCCACGCCTTCTTGGCCATGGGCTTCTTGGCCATCTGCCAGGAAAGATGCTGGCCAGTGTGTTTCTGAGGTGTCATTCCCCACCCCCCAGGTTCTCTTTCCTCCTGGGCCACCAGACCTCCTTTAGATGGGTGTTTATCACACATTTCCCACAAAGTACATTAGCAGAGTTGCACTTTGGAAGTCTGGGAGCAACTGGTGAAACTGCCACCCTTGGCAGGTACCAACCCTTGGGAAGTGCAGAGTGGAAAGCAGGGGTGAAAGAACTGGGGAGGCCCCAGCTTCTCTCCCCTCCCAGGCACCTTGCCAGACGAGGCCTTCGGCCTCAGGGCGTGCCTCTCTTGCACGAGCAGCAGTGACCCCATGAGGCCAGAGTGTGCAAGCATGCGGCTGTGCAAATGGAGGAGAGGAAATCACCTGCTTGATTGGCTGACCGAGGGTAACAGCCTTTGCAAAAGGGAGAGCTGGGAAAGCCCAATAGCATCCCTGGTGGAGCGCATGAGGTTCTTTGGAGTCTTGCATATGCCGGCAGAATGGCTCCAGTCCTGAAGAAGCACCGGCCACCTCTTGCCTTGGGAACCGAGAGCAGATTTTGTCTGGCAGGAGGGGGGGAAGGAAAGGTGAGCAGGTGAGGCCTCCTGCTGCTAGCTCTCCAGCCCAGAGCAGAGTTTATCAGTGGCGTTGCAGGAGACGGGCACTGGGAATGACCAGAAACGAGGTTTTGATGGGCATCAGGAAGAATCTGAACAAGAACTGCTCCCAAGGAGAGCAGATACCTGTTGGCTAGAGACTTTTGCAAATGGGGTTGTCAGAGAATTCCTGCACTAAAGTCTATGATTCACTGCTCTTCATCCTTTAATGAGCCACGGTGGCACAGTGGTTAGAGTACAGTACTGCAGGTTACTTCTGCTGACTGCCAGCTGCCTGCAATTTGGCAATTCGAATCTCAGCAGGCTCAAAGTTGACTCAGCCTTCCATCCTTCCGAGGTGGGTAAAATGAGGACCCAGATTGTTGCGGACAAGAGGCTGACTCTGTAAACTGCTTAGAGAGGGCTGCAAAGCACTATAAAGTGGTATACAAGTCTAAGTGCTATTGCTATTGCTATAATACCTAAGTCTAGGTAAATGTATATCAAGAGCCAGTTTGATGCAGTGGTTAAGGCACCAGGTTAGAAAATGTGAGAGTGTGGGTTCCTAGACCTGTCCTAGGCATGAAGCCAGGGGGATGACTTTGGGCCAGTCTCCCTACAAGGCAAGCAATGGCAAGCCACTTCTAAAATTGTGCAGTGAATGTGATGATGCAACTTATTATCATATATGGTGGACTTGTAAGAAAATCAAGGCATTTTGGATAAAAATTTGGTGGGTGATGCAGAACATTCTGAAAAAAAGGTTGAAAATTACTCCTCAATTGTTTTTATTGGGTATAACGACGGATTGTACAGTATTAGAGACTAAATTGATCTTGAACTTAATATCAGCAGCTAGACTGTTGGTAGCGCAATACTGGAAGAAGGACTCTTTGCCTACTATTGAAGAATGGACATTGAAAGTAGCGAATTTAACGGAAATGGTGAAAATTTCAGCATATCTGAAGGACTATACACAAAAAAGATACATATCGGAATGGAGAAGATGGATTGATTATATTCAAAATAAGTATCAGACAAGAAAATATCAAATAGCTTATGAATGAATGTTAAACTTTACTTTAGAAGTATCATGTTATCCATAGTGGAGTTAAGGTTTCAGGGGGGGGAATAGGTAGTTTAAGAATAGTTAGGCTAATTTAGCTTATGATTGTTAATTGAAATACCCTGTATTTTGCTCTGGGAAGACTGGGGGGGAGGGGGGGGAAAGGGGGGGAATATGGAGGGGGGGAATTTCTTTGTAAAACTTTTCAATAAAATCTTGCAGTTGCCTGGAGTCATCATCGACTCAAAGACAGACACACAATGGGGAACAGTTTATCATCTACATATACAGGTAGATCCCCAAGAGAAAACCCAAGTTGGAGTGACAGGAGTGGAGACTCCGTGGCCTTTGCATGAGGAAATTTGGAGAAGCTGAAGTCTCCAGTAGGCTCGAGGAGCTTCTGGGAAAAAAGGATGTGGCCAGATGGACAAAGACCAGAGAGAAATGTTAATCACGTCCGAAAGCAATTTCTCAGGATGCTTTATTTAGACTTGCCGGTTCTTATAAAACTCAGTGAAGAATGACAATGAAGCCACCTCTTCTGATGGCTGCCAGGGGACCAAGAAGGACGAAAAAGGAGATCTGGGGCCAACGGGCAGCAGCAGCATGGCCGGAGAGGCGTCCTGGTGTCTCTGAGCTCTGCTTCACAGGAGGAAGGTAAGCAGGACCGTCCACAAGATCAGGAGGTAGCAGGCAGGGCAGGAGGAGCAAGCAGGGGATCCATTGCAAAGATCTCTGTTGCAGCAGTGGATCCGGATCCCTGGCAACTCCTGCTGCTGGCAGTGACGGGAGGTGGCGCATCCACTGGTCAAAAGGACCCCCAGCACCGCTGCCAAGGACAGAGAAGGACAAGGAGGAAACTCAGGTTAGCAGCTTATTCTTGTGACCTGCAGGCCACACGCCAGCTGCACTGACAGCATCTCTAGGACTTTGGATCTTGGGTTGCATGGCCAGCTACTGCAAAGCTCCCCTCTGGCTTGAAACCGTCCAGCCATAAGAAAGATTTCATGTTTGCCACCACCACCCCTCAATAGAGGAAGAAGTGAGCTTCTCCTGGGACTTCAGACTTGAATTTGACATCTGCAACCCAGAGGACTATGCAGTTTTGCTTCTGGAAGGTGCAACGTTCTACTGGGGGGCATCCCTCGCTACAAAAACAGACAGTGGGTTGGGGGTGCGGAGCAGCTGTGCCTTCCTGAATCTGAAGAGGCCAAAGTGGCACTTCTGACCTGCTTTTCCCCAGCTACAGCTCGGGGAGTTCTGCCAGTCCTCGAGTCCCCAAACAGGGAGAGGCCAAGATCAGGTGGCTCGCCTGCATCAGGAGGCCTGGGCTGTCCTCTTGGCCTCTCCCTGCCTGTGGGCGCAGCAGAGCGTCTGGGGGGGGGGTCTCCTGGAGGCCTGTCCTTTCCCCATCTTGAGGGTTTAGCAGGGAATTATCTCTGTATCAAGGGTGAATTTGAACTGCAGCTCTTCCCCTGGGCAGACCTGGCCTGTCTCCCCACTCTGCTCCTGCTACCCTGGCCATCCAGTTGAGTGCTGGATGGGGGACCACCAGGGCTACAGTGAGAAGGGTCTCTGGAGAAGGTCATGGCGAGTCACCTTCATGCCAGAAACACCCCAGGGATATGTCTACCAGGTGGATTCCCAGCAGGAATTGGGCTCCACCTGGAGGGACCTTTCTCCCTTTTGACCAAGAGAGTCAGGGAGGACATGAAACTGGAGTATTCTGTGGCCTTGGGGTTTATGCCCATAAACAGACCCTCTGTTGAGCCTTCCCCTTCCCGTCTCCCCCGTCCGCTTGCCCAGAGCCGTGGAAGGAGCAAAGAGGAAGGCTGGCACTCACCGCTTTCCATCTTGATGCAGAACCGGTGCTTGAACCCTTGGTGGGAACGGGGGCAGGTGATCACTTCTGGACTGGAGCAACCGGTGTTGACCGACCTGCTGCCCACTATCACGTTGCAGCCGTAGCACTGGAGCCCGGAGGCTGAAGGGGGGATACAGTGGAGTGTGAGGGGCAGGGACCCTTTCCCAAGCCAAGTGGGGAGGGGAATTCACTCCTGCAAGAAGGGTCCTTCCTTCTAAGCTGGCTCAGCTGTTCTAGGATGGGAGCTTTTAGAATCCTAGGGCTGGAGGTCTTCTAGTCCAGGTGTCTCCAATCTTGGCAACTTTTAGCCTGGCGGACTTCAACTCCCAGAATCCCAGCTTTTGGGGAATTCTGGGAGTTGAAGTCCGCCAGGCTTAAAGTTGCCAAGATTGGAAACCCCTGTTCTAGTCCAACCCCTGCCCAACACAGGAAACCTTATTCCATCCCGGATTAATGGCTGCCCAATCTTTTGGACTGTCCAGGCGGTTAAATGTGGCACTGGAAGAGCCTCTCCAGATTCCTGGTTCTCTGAATGGCCTTTTCATTGTTCTTCCCCGCACCTTCCCTGGCATGTGCAGCCCAGGACCGATCCCCATGGGAAATATGGCTTTTAGTTGAACTGTTATTTTTTAAAAATACAATTTCATTATTTTCTAAAAACCTCACAATCAATAAATTTCAAAAACTTGGATATTAGATTGCAATGCTGCAGATTAACAAACTACAGTACAACTATATAATAGTGTATAAATAAATGCTCATGTGTAAATATATTAGACAATATACCTTATAAATTGTAAATAATAGTAAACTATCCATATAAACTATTATTTAAAGAGGGTTATATGGGAGAAAAATTATAGTAGCATTTAGGGCAAGCCTGCCTGCTCAGTAGCCCGAGGAATACCACCAGGATTCATAGAGTCATAGGGCTGGAAGGCACCTTGGAGGTCTTCTAGTCCAATCCCACCCAAGGCAGGAGGTTATTTATTGCCTCCTCGACAAATGGCTGTCCAAGCTCTTCTTGAAAACCTTCAGTCTTGGAGCACCCACAGTTTCTGTAGGCAACCCTTCCCTGGTTGATTGTTCTCACTGTCAAGAAATTTCTCCTTAGTTCTAGGTTTCTTCTCTCTTTGTTCAGTTTCCATCCATTGCTTCTTGTCCTGCCTTCAGGTGCTTTGGAGAGTGTTATGTAAATAGGTTTGTTTGGTGGGCAGTTTGAATTAACTGACCCTCAGCTGATTGGCTGACCACCACAGCTGCAAGGTATATAAAGGGAGCTGTTTCCCTAGGTCGGTTGCTGGGTTCTCACCCTAATAAACAGAGCTGTTGTCACTCACTGCCTGGCTTACTGTGTCCTCATTCACCCAACTTAACATTGGCGACGAGGATGGGATTTTGAGGCCAGAAGCCAAGGAAAGAGCTGAAGCCACAACCGAAAAGAGCTGAAATCACATTCTGAGAGAGAAGCGGAACAACCGACCACAGAATCCAGCCAGGCGAGCGAGTGGAGCACAGGAGAATCGCGACGATGTCTGCCTACACCCTGCCAGCGCCTTTTAACCCCAAGGAGGAGAAGTGGGGGTCCTACATGTCCCTGTTCAAGTGCTTCATGGTGGCCAACTACCTGCAGGGACTACCGGACGTAAGGAAGAAGGCCCTGTTCCTGAGCCACTGTGGACCACGAGTATTCGACACAGCCAAAGCCCTGGTGGAGCCAAATTTGGTCCACACCATATCATGGTCGACGCTGCAGACCCTGCTGAAAGACCACTATGCCCCAACGCCCTCCAAATACGTCCAACGCTATGAGTTCCGGCAGAGGCTACAGCAGGACTGCGAGTTGATCAGTGAGTACATCGCCGCCCTGCGTAAGGCTGCAAACCAGTGTGAATACCGAGACCTAGATGAGATGCTCCTAGAGCAACTAATCTGCAGAGTGAGAGACGGCCGGCTACAACGGAGGCTACTTGCAAGATCGAACCTGACCCTGCACATCGCCCTAGATGAAGCAAGAGCTCAAGAGTCATCCGTGAAGGCCGCCGAGAGACTGCAAGGGACCATCCATGGCCGGACAGCGCAGAGGTCGGCGACTGTGCACCCTGAGGCTGTGAGCACTGAGAGCGAAGGGGAGTCCAAGGAGGAAGTCTACTGCACCGAGCAGTCCAGGCCAGACCGAAGGGGACCCAGAGACAACTGCGCCAGCTGTGGAGGCCCCCACCCCCGACACAACTGCAAGTTCTGGGACGCGATCTGCTGGTTCTGCGAGAAAAAGGGGCGCATCACTCGAGTCTGCAGAGCCAAGCAAGCGAAGGGCCACAAACCACGTGGCCAAACCAGCCAATCCGAAATGGCGCCGTGTCAGAGATCCAATAAAGAGGGCGGAAGCCAGAAGGGCGTGAAAATCGAAGACATCGAGGCCTACACCATCCGCATCGGCCAGACCTGCACATCACACGGCGAGAAGACCTACACTGCAGTCGAGAGTGGCCGGAAAAGACTGGGAGCGGGGAATTCAAACAGTACGCGGGCAAACAGGATGAACTAACAATGCAAGGGGGGTGTTTGCTATGGGGTGAACGGGTTGTTGTTCCCTTGTGCCTAAGGGAAAAAGTCTTAACACTGTTGCATGAGGGGCACCTGGGGATTGTACGGATGAAGGGACTAGCCAGGAGCTACGTCTGGTGGCCCAACATAGACGCAGACATTACCGAGTGGGTGGGGAGATGCCAGCCCTGCCAAGAGTCTAGGCCAGATCCACCAACGGCACCGGTGAGGGAGTGGGAAAGACCCAAGGGACCCTGGTCCAGGATCCACATAGATTTCGCGGGGCCATTTCACGGGCAGACCTTCATGGTCGTAGTAGATGCCTTTTCCAAGTGGATGGAAAGTAAGCTCATGAAGGCCACTACCACCGACGCAGTTATCAGGGAACTGAGGCAGTTATTCACTACACATGGGTTACCGGACATCTTAGTGTCAGATAATGGGCCCCAATTCACAGCCACACAGTTCGAAGGGTATTTAGTGGAGTTGGGGGTCAGACACATCCTCTCGGCCCCGTTCCATCCGGCTAGTAATAGACAGGCTGAGAGATTCGTAAGAACGGCCAAGGAGGCCCTCTCACGCCTAGGCCCCGGAGACTGGCAGGAAAGGATAGACCAGTTCCTAACAGCCCAGCATTCCACACCTTGCACAGCCACAGGCCGAAGCCCGGCAGAACTACTCATAGGGAGGAAGCTCCGAGGGGTACTGGATAGGCTTAATCCCAATTATTCCCCCGAGGTTTTCAAAGGGGGGGAGAGGAAACTCAGGGAGTTCACCATAGGGACTCCAGTCCACACCAGAAACTACGGGAAGGGCCCACTCTGGGAAGCAGGGACAATCACGGAGATTACGGGGCCCAAATCGTACAGGGTAGACAACGGGAGAGTTTGGCGCAGGCACGTAGACCAACTGCGAAGGTGAATCGCAACTGACGCCGAGGAAAACTTCAACGAGCCGCTCCCTGACTACCAGCCAGAACAACAAACTAAGTCAAGCCCGAGTGCAGCGGAGGACTTAGCTGACGATCCTGGCGTCCGGAGCCGGCCCAGCAAGGAGTTCCCGCCAGCCAAAGAAGTCGCCACCCACAAAGAGATCTCAGAGGTTCCATTGGCGGAGCAGGGAGAAATAGGGAGTCCCTCCGACCTGCTCGACGCCGCCCCTCCGACTGAACTGCGCAGGTCGACCAGGCTACGTACACACCTTGGTCACCTGAGAGACTTTGTATGTAAATAAAACCCAAAGTGATTTCTGGGAGGGGAGGAGTGTTATGTAAATAGGTTTGTTTGGTGGGCAGTTTGAATTAACTGACCCTCAGCTGATTGGCTGACCACCACAGCTGCAAGGTATATAAAGGGAGCTGTTTCCCTAGGTCAGTTGCTGGGTTCTCACCCTAATAAACAGAGCTGTTGTCACTCACTGCCTGGCTTGCTGTGACCTCATTCACCCAACTTAACAGTTTGACCCCCTCTTCTTTGGGGCAGTTCTTCAAATATTGGAACCCTGCTATAATGTCACCCCAGTCCTTCTGACTGTTACACTAGAGACATACCCAATTCCTGTAGCCGTTCTTCGGTTTTAACCTCCAGCCCCCTGATCATCTTGGTTGCTCTTTTTCTCGGCACTCTTTCTAGAGCCTCAATGTCTTTTTTTGTATCGTGGTGATCAGAACTGGATGCAATATTCAAAGTATGGTCTTGCCAAAGCATTTTAAAGTGGTGCTAACATTTCACATGCTTGTCCCAAAGGTGCTTTTTCTATGGAGACTGAGAATCTCCATCAACATTTCACACCATTTTGAAACTCTCCCTCTGTTAGTGCAGTTTATGATTGCATTGGCTTCTTTGGCATCCGCTAGGTCCTATTTAGGTGGTTGGCCACTGGCAATGCTAGGTCCCTCTGACAGTTAGTGCTCTTGAGCCAGGTGCTACCTATTCCATAACCGTGGAATTGGTTTTTCTTGCCTAAGTGCAGGCCCTTCCTTTTCTCACCACTGAGCTGCATTTTGATGAGTACTTGAAGATCCAGCTTGGAGATCAGGAGGAATGGACTGCTTGGGATGGGGTGTGGGGGGTGGGGTGAGGAGTTGCAAGAACCCAGCCAAGGCCATTCCTCAGGGGAGCCATCTGGACATTCAACCACTTCAAGTTGGCAGACGTTTTGTGGAGACTAATGTCTTCAGATGTGCCAAGTTCCTTTAGCTGCTCTCCAGAAGATAGATGGAAGAAATACACAATATTAAAACTATAACGCCAACTACTTATTTCTAGAATGGCTTCTGACCCGACCATCCCAGCTTCCCTTTCAGGAGCAAATAACCATTTGCTATGGTTTCCCACTCCAGTTTGAAAGGGCCAGAAGCATCTTCTCCCCACCACCTAAGGATCGAGGCCAAGACTGGTCTCTGCCACTGGCTGCAGCCCGTGGACTCTTCGGGGTCTGTGAGGGGAGCTGCCAGTCCTGCAGCCCCCAGAAGGAGAGGCTTTAGGACTGGCTGGGGGCTTCTGTGGGGCTGGCCTTCTCGGGCATAGAAACCTGGAGCCTGGGGGGCGCAAAAAAGGGAATCCTGTCCAGGACTCTCCGGCCATCCGCCAGGGAGAGTTTCCCCACCAAGTTTCATCTGAGAGGCAGCGGTAGCCCTGGGTGACCGGGAGGAAGACGGCTCGACCCGATGATCTCGGGCCGGCCGGGGGCGGGCGCTGCTGGCTTCCCCCAGATGAGCCAAACTCTCCCGGGCTTTGGGACCACCGGACCAGGGTCTTAGCGCAACCGCGGAAAGCTGCAGAGTCGGGGCAGGAGGGGGACGTGGGTGGGAAAGGGCCACGGGGGGAAAGTGACCCCCCCCAAAGACCCAACTTGTTAAGGGAGGGAAGGCTCTGGAGCGGGAGGGGCTCGGAAGAGGGAGCCCCAGAAAGTGCTGCTGCGCCCGGCTAGGGAGCCGGCTCTGCGGGGTCGCCGCAGGTCGGAGGGAGCTTCGCCTTATGTAATTCTAGATCAGGTGATTCTCCGGAGATGCCTCCGAAGGTGGCGAGGACCGGCCCGGCAGCGGAGCCCACCAGCCCGACTTGATGGAAGGGACCGACCACAGAGCACTTACTGGTAGCCAGCAAGAAGGATCCAGCCAGGAGGCGGAGGGTCCCGCCGGCAACGAAGCCAGCCACGCCGAACACAGCCATTGGGGGTCCCGCCGTCCGGCGCCGGACTCAAAGCACGCGGAGCATCTAAAGGGAAGACCGGCCGGGCTGAATTCCCACGCCAGGCGCTGCTCTGTCACTCCACCCGGGGACCAGAGCCTCCCCCCCCGTTCCAGCTGCTCAGAAGCCCACGCGGGGAAAGGAGGGAGAGGTTTTTGCTGGGTCTTTCCAAAGTGGGGCTGGCAATTAGCAGCCTTCCCCTTCTCTTCTTCGCCACGAGGGATCTTCCTGCGTCCGGAGTAGATCCCGTGTGTGTGTGTGTGTGTGTGTCTGGCAGGCGGCGCTTCAGCACCCCGTGCCCCCCCCTCCCCAGCATTTTCCCCAGCATTTCTTGCCCCCTTTCTCCTTCCCGCGATCATTCTCGGCTAATACAGCTGTGCAGCAGCTGATGGAAAGAAATTCTCTTTAATCAAGGTTTAATTCTAAATCCACTTCGAAATCCTCTAGTTGGATTAGGATGGAGGAAGCTGCTTCTTTTATTAAGCTTTCCGCTCGCCTTTCCCGAACAGGGAGAATTTTCCCCAAAGCTGTCGCGTTGAATGCCCCACAGAAACAAGGCGAGTTTTGAGCCTGAAATGGTGACATTCAAAGAAGGAAGGGGAGAGAAAAGGGAGAGGCAACCAGGTCAGATTCTTTAAAATACTAGGCGGCGATGTGGTTGAAAAGCTCAGCAATATTGGAAAATGATTGATTACCGGAATGAAACAAGGGTTAAAAGTTGGCTTCCTTTCTAACGCCACTTTTTGAATTAAACCCAGATTAGGACCAAAATATTGCACCGTGAAGCGGGATATAAATCTAAATCTAAATGCTATCATCCATCCATCCATCCATCCATCCACCCATCCATCCATCATGTGATGGCGCAGTAGTTAGAATGCAGTATTGCAGCCTAATTCTGCCCACTGCCAACTGTTGGATCCTGACCCGCTCAAGGTTGACTCAGCCTTCCAGCCTTCCTAGGTGGGTAAAATGAGGACCTAGATTGTTGGGGGTGATAGGCAAACGGCTTTCAGAGGGCTGCAAAGCGGCATATAAGTCTAAGAGTGCTTATTGCTATTGCTAACCGTTCCTCAACGGAGGGCATGGAAAGAACCAACGGGAGCCCTTCAGTGGGGGGCCAAGCAGCCGGGCAGGCAGGGCAGGGAAGCAGCCCCAGTCCAGCTACGGCCAGGAGGCCTCGGGTGGCCTTGGACTAGCCTGGGGCTTAAGCCAAGCGGCCCAGAAGGAAAAGGAGGCAGGAGAGCCGGGGCAGCTGAGAGAGGCAGGTTTCTTATGGGTGGAGACCGAGAGGCGCTTTGGTCTCCCCTAGCGACCCCTCCTGACCTCTTTGGGGGTCCCCTGTGGGCGCCCCTGAGTCCGGGGGCGGGAGCCAGGAGTGGGGCCCGGAGCGGCTGGAAAGGCAAGCCCGATCCCGGGGTGCATTTTCTGGGGAGGCCTCGCTTGCCGCCTGCTCGGACCTTGGCCAGGGCTGCCCTCGAGGGGCCCCCGAAGGCCTCCGCCCTGCAGGCGGAACGAGGCCACCGAGCCTCTTGCCCCCCCCCCCCGCCATGCGTCCTATGCGAAGGGGCGTCCTGTGGCGAGGCTCGGGTGCTGCTGGAGCGGAGCGGGGAATAGCGCGGCCCCGGGAGGGTCCTCTGCCCTACGCAGAGAGCGCCTGGGCTAGGTGGGCTCGTCTGGTCCTCGGATTCCGGCACGGGGCGCGGAGGCGGGCGGGGGGAGAGGAGGGTCGGGACCGTTTGGACCAAATTGGGGGGCGGGGAGGGGGGCGCAGAAAGAGCTGGACGGAGGTCGGGGGTCGGTAAGCAGGAACCCCCCCCCCTTGGTGAGGTGCAACCGGCCTCCTCTTCGCCCGCCCGCCTGGCATCCTCCCCGAGGCAGTCAGCGACCCCAGACCACCTTCAGGAGCCACGTTGGACCCAACTCCCCCCCTCCTTTGCCTGGCCCCACGGGGCAGCCCCACGGGGTCGCAGCGGACGCCGCTCTTGCGACCGAGGCCGGGGGGTGGGGGGGCGGGAGGAAGTAGTGCGGCGGGGATTCGAACTCGCGATTCCCGGCGTCCTAGATTCCCCTCCACCGCCATCTTGGAGGAGGGCGGTGGAAGCCGACGCCCCGACGGTATAGGACTCGTCAGCCTTTTCTCTCAGCGGTGATTTCACTTATCGCGAGGCTTCGTCCCCGAGTCAATGAACATCTTGCTCGTTTTGCAAAGAGGCAAAAGCGGAGACGCGCTTTGCATCCCGATTGGATAGAGTTGTGCATATATTATCGTGGGCTGCATGGGAAATTGGCCACTGACGGGAACAAAATCCAATTGCCTTAGATTTACTAGCTATGTTGCACCGAACACATGCTCTAGATTAGCCATATAGTATTAGGAAATATCTAAAAAGGCCGAAACTCTTTGCCTACCCCGCATTTTTCTAACCATAACCTGGAGGTTTAGCTTTCTCGGAGGTTTAAATAACCATGGCGTGGTTTTGTTTTTCGTGTTGTATGAAAGGAGAGAAGGTTAGCACTCCCCTTGATAAGGATGGAAGAGGCCCTTGTGGTCTTTGCAACACGCATATGGTTAAGGCGCTGCCACTTACGTCGTGGCATCTAACCAGTTTTGGGGCGGAGCCCCGCAGAGCCTGCCAGCTCCCCTAACGCAGCCGATTCTTTTTGCCACATCGACACGGGCAGCCCAGCCACCATTTTTAAGCAGCGGCCCGCTCGCAACAGGCTCTGTAGCTAAACAATACCGGTTGTTGGGATTTGCATTTAAGGTCACCGCTCGGTTGCCTTTCTGAAACCGGCTGGGCAGCCCACAGCTGCTCTCTGGAAAGCTGAGCAGGGTTGGCCCATGTGGCGTCCTGGATGGGAGACTGCAGAGCAGAGCCGAGCCCAGAAACAAGGACTCTTAAAAGGAAACCGTTGCCAACCTACAGCAGGGGCACCTGTGAATCCCTGGCAGCTGAATGCTGAAGCCCAGGCGGTTTCTCTGTATCCTCATTTCCTGAATCAAGAGAATCGGGAAGACAGCTCTGGAGTCGTTTTAAAAAGAGCCACAAGTTGTTTTGGTTAGTGAGATGCGCAGGCAGCAACGGGCCGGTGGGTTTGCCTCCTGCCGGTTCCTTCACCTTCCTTTTCTCCCGCAAGTCCCGAGGCTCAGCCTGGCCGAACGCCCCCCCCCCCCATCCCCTGCTCTTGGTCACCCTTCTGCCTTCCCCACCTACAAGGGAAGGGGCAGCTTGCCCTCATCTTGTGCTAAAAAGCCTCCGATATTGCTGCTTTTCCCACAGGAGGAAAGAGGAAAACAAAGCCCCTGCCTCAGCACTGGGACCACCCCCACTCCCCAGGGCCCAAATGGGGGGGGGGAGAGAGAGGCCACTGGTGCTCCAAGCAGGCCAGCTGCTTTGAGTCGTCACCCACCTCACAGCCTTCTGAGTGAGGGGCTTTCTGGGGGGGGAGAGAAGAGTGGAGACTAAATCCCCTGGGTGCCCCTCACCCTCCTTGGGCAGGCTCCATGGGTGCCTTAGAATAGAGCTGGAAGGGGCCTTGGAGGTCACCTAGTCCAGCCACCTGCTCAAGCAGGAGATCCTATACCGGGGCTGTCAAAGCTCCCAGCCCACAGGCCGGATGGGTCACGCGTTCCCACGCCCAATTTAGCGAAGGGGGGAAAACATCCTGATGTCACGTGATGCCACTGTGACGTGAGTTTGACACCTGTCCTATACCATCTCAGACAAGTGACCGTCCAGTGTTTTCTTACAAACCCCTAGTGATGAAGCACCTACAACTTCTGAAGGCAACTTCTGTTCCACTGGTTAATTGTCAGAAAATTTCTCCTTAATTCCCGAGTTGCTTCTCTCCTTGATTAGTTTCTATCCGTTCCTTCTTGTCCTGCCCTCTGGTGCTTTGGAGAATAGGTTGATCCCCTCTTCTTTCTGGCAGCCCCTCAAATACTGGAATACTGCTATCATGTCGCCCCTAATCCTCCTTTTCTCTACGCTGGCCAGACCCAAAACCCACAGCTGTTCTTCATATGGTTTAGTGTCCAGCCTTGTTCACCTGAACCAGGTTACTGGTGTCCCAGGCAAAGCTGCTTGGATGCCACCCTGAAAACACTCACGCCAGGCAGCTGATCCTTCCGTCAGCCACGTTAAATCCCACTTTTTATTCTGCCGTATGGTCACTGTCCGGGATGCGTAGGACACCAAGAGTACCATTGAGAGAGAGGGAAAGGAGGAAGAAGTGTCGACGCCAGAAAAGATACAGTCATACTATTAGCAATACAAGTTCATACAGAGAAATTTTTCCAGATAAAAAAATTCTTTACACTTAAGTAACTGTACACATATTGTGAAATTTGCCAGAATGGTTTTAAAGTGTAAAAACAAGAAAATTAAAATAAAAGGGGGTCACGAGAACTGGTTCTTTTTTTTGGAGGGGAGGGGGCAAGAGGGAAAAAAAAGCCTTGGAAGATTTTCACCGCAATAGCATCTACCAGAGGGCACAGCAGGAGGGAAGGCTCTGGAAAACTGGGCAGGGAAGGGACCACATGGGGGGGGGGGGCACATTGATTTGGTCGCACTGAAAATCATCTTCTGTCTTCCTTCATGAGGCCTATCGGGAACCCCCGAGCTCTTCTGCTGAAGGGTGCCTGAGATGGTCTTAAATAAGAACTTTAAAAAGGTTCTTTCTAGCCTGGGGGGGGAGGGGGGATGGGGGACTGAACACCCCCCACTCCAAGCAGGGACGACTGCCTTCTCTGAGAAAGCCAAGGGGTTCCTCACACAAGGGTCAGGCCAAGGAAAAGGGCGCTTCGGTTCTCCGTTGGCCAAGGCTGCACCTCTTAACATCGCTCCGGACTTCCTGCTAATGCGGCTGAAATGTGGGTTGGGTTTTTTTCTTTCTTTTTTAAAAAACACAAACACAAAATACCCTCCGATTTTATGGACACCACCCCAACAGTCTCCACGTGATGCCGGTGCCAAAAGCACTTAACAGTCACTCTTCCAAAGTTTAATGGTTTTGTCGTTCTCTAGGGCTGCAGAGGCAATGATGTTTTCGGTTGGATGGCAAGCCGTGGAGATCACAACGTCTGTTGGGAAAGAGGGACCAAGATGCCCGTCGTTACCAGCCAGCACCCAGCTGGCTGCTCACAAGAAGCCGCCCACTCAGGGAGCCTTGAGAAGAGGCCACTGCCCACCTCCACCCTTACCATTGAAGGGCTGGGTCCCTCCTTGGGCTTAAAGCATCCCGGGCATGGTCTCAGCCCATTGGCTGGCATTAGCCTCCCTGCCATAGCCAGAGGCCCCGGGGGCAAAGAACCATGAGGGGCTGGACAACCACCAAGGAGCAGCTCTGGCCAAGACCAGCAGTTGCAACTGGACAGTCGCAAGTGTGTTACTTTTGTGGCCAGGGGCATTGTGTTATGTTCCCACTCAACAAAAGCGCATGGCACCATCTCATTCTTTATTAGCAGTGACCCTAAACATGTGCCAACAGTCTTGGATCCGGGGGCGGGGGGGCGCATGGGAAGGCACAACTACTTCAAGCAGGAGTCCCCAATATTCCCACCCAGCCCAAGGATCGAGGAGACCGCCTTGGCAGTTTGCAGCTTATGGCAAGGAGAAACCAAGCCCATTAAGACCCGCATCCCCCCCTCTCGGTAAAAGGCGGGTCCCTCCTGGTGGGAGGGAATTCTGGGGGCAAATAGTGGGAGTGGCCCGAATGCAGGATTGGGCCCCCAAAGTTCCAGGCTACGGAGCAGGTCGAAAGGGGCCTCCTGACGTTTCTGCTTGACACAAAGCCGAAAACACCCGTCCCCAAAGCCGTAGCTATTTCAGGCCCGATTCTGATCGCCCAAGAGGAGGCCTTGTGCAGCCCCATCGCTCACGACTTCCCAGCCACTTTACAGGCAGCCCAAGCGCTCCTACCTGTGTGCCCTTGCAGCTTCTGTACAATCTCTTTCGTTTGGAGGTTCCAAATGTACACCAGGTTGTCCTCTGAACCGGACACGATCCACTAAAGGGAAGAAAGGCATTCAGAAGGACTGAGCATGGCTGGGCCCAGGCGCAGATCCCGTCCGATGGGCTGCTTCTCGCTCTCCTCCCTCCTACCAACTAGTATCAGAAATGGGACTCCAGAGCCGGTTTTCTAAAATATCAAGACCTCAGTAAGTCTCATCTTGGACAAGGTGCATCATAAAGAGGGCAGCAGCCTCCCTGCCTCAAAGTCAATACCCGGTGCCACCCCAGGCACTCCGTGGCTGCCACTTGATGTGACAAGTCTTCTTATGTCAGGCCTGGTGCCACCCCTTAGATTAGAGGTGTCAAACTCAAGGCCCGCGGGCCAGATCTGGCCCACGGGGTGTTTAGATCCGGCACGTGGGGCCAGCCTGGAAATAGCAAGGGACTGGCCCACGGGGCCTCTGCCAGCAAACACGCCCCCCCCCCGTGTTTTTAGTTTGTTATCTAAAAAAACTAAAAACACAACAAAAGGAGAAATGTTTCCCCTTCTGCATTTGAGCATGCAAGAAGGGACAGGAAAGGAGAAAGGGAAAGAGGGAAGACAAAGAAAAAGAAGTGAAGATGGGAAGGAAGGAAAAAGAGGGAAAGGAAGAAAAAAGAATGAAGACGGAAGAAAAAAGAAAAGGAAGAAAGGAAGGAAGGAAGGTTATGAGAGTGAGGGAGGGTCTCAGGGAAGCCCTGCATTATCAATAGGCCACCACAGGTGCCTGACAGAAGTGACGAGCTGGCCACACCATGGCCACACCCACCGGGCCCTCTGGGGTCAAACACAACCCTGTGGTGGGTCTCAATGAAATCGAGTTTGACACCCCTGCCTTAGATCCTGTTCCCAAGAGGTGCTGCTGCTGCTGCTGCTGCTGCCTTACTTGATCTCGTCCCCTCACCCAGGCCCTGTCCCCGAATTCGAATGCTGCTGGTTCAATTTCAATGCAGATGGCATTTGCAGCAATGAGGGAGACATGGGCTCTCCCCATGCAACTCAGAAAAGAGATGCTCACCTTTCCGCCAGTAACTGAAAAGTTGGCAAAGATGCAATACTTCTCATTCTTGTGACCCGTGTAGGTCTTGAGGCACTAGAAAAGAGAAGGCCACAGAACCACATATCATACCTCAGCAGGAGAGCCCAGACAGGGGAAGACCACTGCCATACGTGTGTGTCCGTGTGTCCCCTCCCTCTTACCTGGAAACCCAGACTTTCCCTCTGGACAAAGAGGAAACTTCTGCCCCAGATATCATGAATGCACCCTCACCTCTGCAGTCTCCTGAATTTTAGTGGTCTGGGAATATTCGGAAACTGGAGGCTATTTGCCAAGATGCATTAATTTCAAATTATTGTTTGAATTAAGCTTTTCCTGTGGGAGGACAGCTAGGAATAAAGTCAGCAGTCGGTGTGGTTAGTCTGAGACTGCTTAATCAATCCTTCACAGAGGGATCTCAGGAGGATCCGCTTCAGGGGGATCTCGCTTCTGCAGGAGGATTTGAGGGCCTCAGGCTAACTAAGCCTTCTGGGGTTTATGGGAGCATCTTCTGGATTAAACACAGGCACTCACCTTCCCTTTGCTGTAGTCCCAAAGCTTGAGAGTGCTGGAGGGAAGAGAAACACTCTGGTTAGAAAGGTCCACAGAATGACCCACCACAACACACACACACACACACCCTCCAGCTCCCTTGGGGCTCCTCTTCCTTTGCTCCCTACCAGCCCAGAAGGGAATATTTCTCTCGCTTTCTTCCCTGTATCTACCTGTTTGTTCACACCATTTGTTTTTCCCCTTCTTGAAAGAGTTTTAAAACCACACCCGAATATTTGTTTTTTCCCTTTCTGACACCTTCATTTGGCTTTTTCACTCCTGCCCAGCCTAGGAAATCAAAGAGCCAGGCTGGTCTGGGACTCTCCAGGGCTAGAAGCCCAGCGGGACCTTCCTCCCATCGCCCTGGTCAGCCTTTTCCTCCTCCCTCTTGCCGTTTTCTCTGGAAAATCGAATTCTTTGGCTCTTACTTATCCAGAGTTGCCGCTAGAATATATTTGCCATTTGGAGAGAATTTCACAAATGACACAGGGGGATTGTCATCATCTGAAAGAGAGAATGAAAGAAAGGCCTGTTTTCAGCACCACGTGGTGAAATGAGGATTTGCCTGAGCCAATTCCTTTTGGAGGGGAGCCAACTCACCAATCAACGTTTTCAAGCATTGGCCAGAAGCCGTGTCCCAGATCCGGCTGCAATGCCAAGGGAGTCACGTTAGTCAGGCAGAAAAGTTTGGGGGGGGGGGGGGGAGAGATGGATGGATAGATGGCACACACAAACACATACAGCACAGCACAGCACAGCCAGGGCACTCTGAGTAGAAATGGAATAGACTCTTTACTTTACTTTACTTTTATTTGATTTGTATACCGCCCTACTCCCGAAGGACTCAGGGCGGTGAACAGCCAACAAATACATACATACAAAATTTAAAAAAGCAGAAATAAAATCGAATTAAATAGTTTGGCCCAGACAGATTAAAACCCCACTCAATTTAAAACAGATTTAAACTTTGAGGATTAAAAAATATTAAACATATTAAAATATTAAAATTATTTAAAAAGAGGGAGAAAGTTAGGCCAGGCCCGCCTGGTGAAATAAAAAGGTCTTTAGAGTGTGGCGGAAGGTGAGCAGATCCGGGATCCGCCGTATCTCCGGGGGGAGCTCGTTCCAGATAGTAGGTGCCCCCACAGAGAAGGCTCTCCCCCTGGGGGCCATCAGTCGACATTGTTTGACACCCGGAGGAGCCCCTCTCTATGAGAGCGTACCGGCCGGTGGGAGGCTATTGGTGGTAGTAGGCGGTCCCGCAAGTACCCAGGTCCTGAGCCATGGAGCGCTTTAAAGGTGGTGACCAAAACCTTGAAGTGCACCTGGAAGACCACCGGGAGCCAGTGCAGCTCGCGCAGGGTGTTACATGGGAGCGCCATGTCGCTCCCATTACCACCCGTGCGGCCGCACTCTGCGCCAGTTGGAGCCTCCAGGTGCTCCTCAAGGGGAGCCCCATGTAGAGAGTGTTACAATAGTCCAGGCGGGAGGTGACGAGGGCATGAGTGACCGTGCGTAAAGACAGCCGTGAATCCAGGAGGACGCCCAAGTTGTGCGCCCTCTCCGTGGGGGCCAATGATTCGCCCCCAAGTCAGTGATGGCACCAACTGACTATATCGGGACGTTGGAAACCACAGCCACTCAGTCTTGGATGGGTTGAGCCTGAGCCTGTTCCTCCCCATCCAGATCCGCACGGCCTCCAGGCACCAGGACATCACTTCAAGGGCATCGTTGGGGTGGTCCGGGGTGGAGATGTACAGCTGGGTGTCATCAGCGTACTGGTGGTACTTCACCCTGAAACCACGGATGATCTTGCCCAGTGGCTTCACATAAATGTTGAACAGGAGGGGCGAGAGGACCGACCCTTGCGGCACCCCGCATGAGGGGCCTCGGGGTCGACCTCTGCCCCCATCAACACAGACTGCGACCGGTCAGAAAGAAAGGAGGAGAACCACCGCAACACAGTGCCTCCCACCCCTAACTCTTCCAACCGGTGCAGCATGATACCATGGTCGATGGTATCAAAAGCCGCTGAGAGATCTAACAGGACCAGGATAGAGGAGCACCCCGTCCCTAGCTCTCCAAAGATCATCTACCAACGCGACCAATGCCGTTTCCGTGCTGTACCCGGGCCTGAAGCCCGACTGGAACGGATCCAGATACGGCGCTTCATCCAGGTGCTGGGTGAGCTGTTGCGCAACCACACTCTCAACAACCTTCGCCACAAAGCGAAGGTTGGAGACCGGATGATAGTTTACCAACATTGCCGGGTCCAGGGAAGGCTTCTTGAGGAGAGGCCTCACCACCGCCTCTTTCAAGGCGGCAGGAAAGTTACCCTCACCCAACGAAGCATTTATAATCCCCTGGAGCCAGCCTCGTGTCACTTCCCAGGAAGCCAGCACTAACCAGGAAGGACACGGGTCCAATAAACAAGTGGTCACGTTCAGTCTGCCCAGAATCCTGTCCACGTCCTCAGGGGTCACAGGATCAAACTCATCCCAGATAACATTCTCAAGACCTGCCCCAGTCCCTCTCCCTGAGACTACCCAGTTGGAGTCCAGATCGTCCCGAATCCGAGTGATTTTGTCATACAGATACTGAGCAAAACCCTCCGACTCTGGTAGCAGTGTTTCATTTGGCTTTGACGACCTAGATTGTTGGGGACAAGAGGCTGACTCTGTAAACTGCATAGAGAGGGCTGTAAAAGCACTATGAAGCGGTATATAAATCTTATTGCTATTACTATTAACAGGAACAGCAGGCCCTTCCTGCAAGCAACATCTGGATCAGGGGCTGTTTCACAAATGGCTTCTCAGGACGGTCACATTTTAGAGCAAAGGACTCAGAATTTCCCTCCATAAAAACTTTTGTTCTGAAATGGAAACCAGGAACTATGCGCATCGGAGGCCAGAAGGTAGCTGAGCAGAGAGTGGGGAAGGGAAGGGCTGGGGCGATTAGGGTGGGCTGAGCTCAAAGGGTGGCTAGGGGAGGGAGGGGCTCAGGAAGGCTGATGCTCAGGAAGGGAGGGGAGGGGGCCAGGATCAGGCGGTGCTCCCCTAAAAACCCCTCTGGGTTTTTCTCAGAGGAAACCAGGAGCCTGTAAAACATTCCATGCTTCAGTGTGGCCTGATCGCCACTCATCCCACTCCCGTCACTAAGCCACAGGTATGGAGGAGGAGGAGAGGAGGAAGATAAAGAGGAGGTGGCACTGAGCCCATCATGGCTAGGATGGTTTTCGGTGGTGCTGAGATTCTGATTTTTCAAGCTTCCAGCCAGGATTGGGAAGGAGGGACAATGGACACATCATTTGCCATCGCACAATGGCCGTTTCCCCTCTTCCCTCCGTTTTCATTTCTCTCAACAGACCTCAGTCCCACCAGACACCCCAGACCAGGGGATCCAGCCCACAGGAAGGCCAACGGCTTTTATTGGAGCTGGCCCTAAGGAATCTCCACATCGTTTGCTGACTCAAGGGAGGCCCTCCTGAACGCTGCCTCGTTTCTCGGAACTTTAAAAGGTTTTGGGCCCCCGTACCTCAGGAAGGCTCCCTGCCCGTCTCCCCCAAGGTCGCCTTCTTCCTTCCACCACCACAGGTCACTGGGCGTTCATTAGAAAACTGGTGGCCCACTGAACAAAAGGCCGTGCAACCCAGGTGTGCCAAGAAGGCTGCTCACCAACTGCTCCCCTGTCCTGGCTCTGAGGATGCCCGACTCTCACCCAGGAAGCGGTTGCTAACGAGTCCCCCACCCCACCCAGCTCTCTATTCTCAGGGCAGGAGACACAGCTGGCTTTGCAGGGTGCTCCAAGGAGCAGGACGGCTCCCCCTACCCGTTGGCTTTAATGGAGCAAGGCTGGGCTTTCTATGTTCTTATTAATTCCAGACAGGGGTTTCCCTCTGCACCACTCCAGAATCCCACCTCTTCAGCATCAGGGTGAAGAAACTTTTTCAAATTAAAGCTTTCTCTACAATAATGGAACCTGCTCTTTTCTTTTTATGATCCCCTCCCAACAGGATCTCAGAAAGGAATGAGGAATGGGGGGGGAAAGGGGGGGGGCTCTGCCAATTGGGAAGGGAAGGGAAGCCTTGGTCTGGTGGGAGATGCTGGCAAGAGGGTCAGGGCAAGAATAGGCCCCATCCTTGGGAGGGGGGGGGAGCCACCATTCTGCCCTAAACACCTTCCCTCCTGCCCGACCAATTGCTCTTCAGGGGTTGGGAGGACATGCAGCCCCTCTCCCAGACCGCCAAGGCTTTGTTTTCCACCAGGGAAACAGCCCAGAGTGGGAAGGGGAGAGCCAAGTGGGAGAAGCCAAGGCTGCATGTGGGGTTCAGTGGAGGCTGGAGGTCTTCAGGTTCCAGTTATCCAAAGGAACAAACTGAGGGACTCTTGGACCAAGCCAGGCCCCAAACTCCAGGCCCCACAGTTTCTCCTGGCTGTCCTTTTCTACAGGGCCCCAGGGCTGTCCGCCAAGGCTCTTTGCACAGCACAGAAAAGGCAGCTTCATGCAGCCCACTGGGGCGGGGGGTGGGAGAAAGGAAGGCAACACAAAATAGGAACCAACAGCTCTTTTCTGAAACTTCCCCTCCCACTACACACCCCTCCGGCTTCTCCCCGGTCTTTGGGTCTTTGGGGAAAGAGCCAAACAGAGTTGGAAATGAGGCCAGGGTTGTTCGAGCCCAATTAAATTCAAAAGGTCATATGGGAGGGAGATCCACCTCTGTAGTAGGTAGTGGCACAAACCAGGCCAGAGACTGTCCCATCTCTCTGGGCAGAGCCCGTTCAATGATGGGGTTCCTTTGCTCACAATTAGGGCTGAAGGTGGGAAGCAGGCCTGTGTGCCTTCACGGGACTTTTGCCACACGGCAAGAAATCCCACTGCCCCTCCCCCTTCTTGAAATCAAGGCTGGAGTCACCGTGTTAATTCAAGGGACATGCACTCCCCCTCCCCCAGGCCAGCTCTGCCATGCCCTGTCCCAGTGGAAGAATGGCTTGCAAAGACCTGCTTTGCCCGGCTAGGCAGCCTTGACTCAGCACTGCAGGCCTTTCCTTGCTCCCTACTCACCACAGACCATCATAGCTGCTGGACACGATCAGGGAGCCATCGCGGTTAAAATGCACCTGAAGGCGAGAAAAGACCCTGCTATTTGGGGGCAGAGGGAAGGGAGGGAACAGGCTCTGGGGTCATCCCTCTTTTGCCCCACAGAGGAAAGCCTTCGCTTCTTCCCAGCCGAGGCTCCCCGGGAATGAGAACTTACGGCAGAAACGGGATCCGAGTGGGCTGGCAGCGTTTTCAGGCACTTCCCCGTTTTGACATCCCAGATCCTGACGCTTTCGTCAAACTGGAAATGAAACAAAGGAGACAGTCAGAAATGGCGTTTTCTGGACCCCCAAACACCTGAAGGGCTTCTGCTTCGGCAGGGGAGCATTTTCTGCTCTGAGGGAAGCCTGTCTCTCTGCCCCCCCTGGCCCTAGAAAGAGGCTCTAAACGATCCCTCTTGAGGTGAAGAGAGACCCCTCCTTCTCCCGGGGCAGAGGCTACAGGCCACAGAAAAGAATCAGAAAAATTATCTCTGTGTTGTGGAGCTCAGCTTCCAGGGGGTCCATTCCAGTGCCCTGCTATCACCCTCCTTTAACGACCCCATAATCCCTTGCGGGGTGGAGTCTGGGCAACTGAAGGGAGCTAGCAGAGTGTTTACTGGTCGGATGCCCTTCCTGTCGCCACTGTGGAGTTTTGTTCAGCCGATATATTCTCGTTATTCCAGTGCCCTGCTATGGAACCCCAAAAAGAGCCGTTTCTGACTCGGGGTGCCCAGAGTGCCTCCATTTCACACAGACTTTCCCCATGGCCCGAGAGACTGACGGGGCTTGCGAAGCCCTTCCTCCTTCCCCCAGGTCACCCTCGGGCTCTCTTCCAGTAGCATCCATTTGTGGTGATGGTGGGCAACAAATGAAAATGCCAACCCCCCCCACCCCCCAAAGACACCTGCGTAGAAACATTTAATTTCTTTGCATGAAATGGCTGCCGGCTAAATGGGAGAGGCGGGGCTATAACTAATGAATATTTGAGCTATAATTTTCAGGAAAATTAAAAAAGGGCCAATCAAAATTCTAGCAGAATAAGACAGAAAGTAATGGGAGTATTTTGAAAAGGTTATTTTGCTGTAATCACTCATCTGAGATCTCCTGCTCTATTTGATCACATACATTACAAATTATTTAATAAGATTTTATCACCTATGGGGAAAATAACCAGGAAGAGAGAGAGATGATGCTAGGACTCATAGGAGACCTTCATCCTGCACCAGAAGGCCCACCTGAGGCTGGAAACCACGGGGTTCTCTTTGGCCCAGAGGAATCCAGAGCCCTTCCCTTCCAGGGCCATGGGGGTGTATGGAGGGCTATGTTTTGGGGCCTCCAAAGGCAGAGCTGCAGCTCTAGAAAGCCAAGGAAGCCTGTCTGGCTGCAGGTCCCAAGAGCCACCGTGCATTTCTGCCTGAAACGGGAGCAAATCTTGCCCAGCCAGATGCTTACCGATCCTGAGACGATGAGGTTTGACTGAGGGTTGAAATTGCAGCAGAAGACGTAGTTGCTGTGCCCCTTCAGAGTTTTTAAGCATTTTCCCTACAATAAGAGATATATATATATATATATATTTTTATAACGTGCCCCACCCGCACTGATATTTAATTTAATTTAATTTAATTTCCAATTTATATACCGCCCTTCTCCCTGAGGACTCAGGGCGGTGTACAGCCAAAATAAAAAACATAGAATACAAATATTAAAACATTTAAAAGTATATATAAATTTTGGCCCGAAAGTTAAGAATGACAGACTAATTAAAGAATTTAAAAATTTCTTCTTAAGACAACCCGGCTTGCTGAAAAAGATGGGTTTTCAGGGAATGACGGAAGGCATTGAGGTCCTGGATTCTTATCTCCGGGGGCAACTGATTCCAGAGGGTGGGAGCCCCCACAGAGAAGGCCCTCCCCCTGGGGGCCACCAGCCTAATCTATATAATCTGATGCTGAAAGGGAGCTGGCAAAACACTTTCCTCTTTTGTCAGAGCTCTGGTGGGGAAGAAGAAACGTATCCAGGCCTTCGCAAATTTCACTCCTGAAAAACAGGAGATGGGAAGGCCTCCTTCCAGCTGCCTCACTACTTTGCAACTTGGAACTGGCAGATAAAGCTGACTTGGGCTCTGGACGGGCATCTTTCTTCACAGAATTTGGCATTTCTTCTACCCTCAAAACAGAACACTGTACACAAGAACTAGACACAAATTTTTCCCCCATGCCATCACTCTGCTAAACAACTAAATCCCACAACACTGTCAAACTATTTAGTAAGACTGTATTATTCTCATCTTTCCTATATGACTATAACTTTGTTGCTTGTATCTTTACGATTTATATTGTTTTATTTAGTTTCCTAGTACGATTTATGTTGCTTATTTAGTATCCTATGATAGTCACTAAGTGTTGTATCTTATAATTTATGATGAATGTATTTTTATGATGACTATGATCATGATTTATCACTTTTGTACTCGCTATGTACACTGAGAGCTTATGCACCGAAGACAAATTCCTTGTGTATCAAATCATACTTGGCCAATAAAGAACTCTATTCTATTCATTTCGCTTGGTGGGCTCACACCACAGGGCCCCTGGAAGGAGGCTGCCCTGTCAGACAAGCCACACAAGGCTGTTCTAACCAGGCAGCATCAGGACTACAGGCTGGCTGGGCAAGCAAGCCAGATGCCTACCTCCTGAATATACCACTCTAGCATCACCAGTCCATCCCTTTATCTTCAGCTACCTCGATCTTGTTTTTTGCCCACAGGACAAGCATTAGTGCCACACTATCAGAACCCTACCTGGTGTAAGGAATAGAATCACATTCAAAATTTTCAGATGGGGAAGATCATCCATGACAATTAAATATCTGCACCAGCTCTGTCATTTTCACCCAGTAAAAATCACTCCAAAGGCTCTGTAGGTTTTGTTTTTGCCAAAATACAGAAACATAACTGAACAACAGGGTTGGGAAGGACCTTGGAGGTCTTCTAGTCCAAACCGCTGCCAGAGCAGGAGACCTTATACCATTCCGGACAAATGGCTGCCCAGTCTCCTCTTAAAAGCTTCTAGTGATGGAGCACCCACAGCTTCTGAAGACGAGTTGTTCCCCTGATTTTAAAAATTTTAATGCTCTTCCAGAAGAACTTGACAAGCTGGAATAAGTGCCAAAAACCAACAGGGGACGTCCTATGTTTGGGTGGGAGAAATCAAAGGCCCAGAGATAGAGAACCATTCTGGACCACTGTATGGACAAAAAGGGTCTGGGTATCTCAGTGGAAGACAACCTGAGCCAAAGGCCAATGCAATCATAGGCCACATTAACAGAAGTCAAGCCAAGCTAAGCCTCAAGATCAAGGGGAATCATCATTCTTCTCTGCTCTCTGGTGGGCAGCCCACATTGAGAATACTATATCCAGCTCAGAGAATTTTAAGATGGACCCTGACAGACGGGAGAGTGTCCAGAGGAGACTAACTAAGGCAGCAATGAAAAACTTAAGAGGGGTAGTTGGAGTTCTTAAAGAAGTTTAATTGGAAAACCTAACAGCTGTGGAGAAGTACCAGAAGGGCCATCGTTTAGAAAATAAGTAAAAATTGCTGGAGGCTCCCCCAGAAGACAGGAGCAAAAAACAATGAGATTAAGTGGCAAGGAAATTGATTTGGGTGGACATCAGGGAAAAAACTCTCAGAATTACGGACTGTTCATCAATGGAGCAGCTGCCTCCTTGGCTGAAGATGTTTAAGCAGAGGCTGGAGAACCTCATATGAGAACACTGCAGTAGAGATTCCTGCACTGGGGAAGGGTCAGACTGGTTTCCAATCTTTACATTCCATGAAAATGAGACGGAATTCCTTTTCTATTTGGCAGAAAACAGATACTACTTTAGAACTGCCAAAGGAAAGGATCCATTTCAGTGGTGAAATTAAATTTTTTTTACTTTCAGTTCTGCGGGCGTGGCAGGGGAAGGATACTGCAAAATCTCCATTCCCACCCCAATCTGGGGCCAGCCAGAGGTGGTATTTCCTGGTTCTCCGAACTATTCAAAATTTTCACTACCGGTTCTCCAGAACCTGTCAGAATCTGCTGAATAGCACCTCTGATCCATTTGCATCTCTAAACTCTTCTGCCAGCATTCCAATATTCTCTAGCTAACATACAATCTGAACTCCTTCTCTCTTCCTCAATGGAAAGAAAAGCTGTACTGGAAAACAGAATCATAGGGCTGAAAGGGACCTCAATGAAATTCCCTGGCCAAGGCAAGAGACCTTAAATCTATCCTTAGATCCATCTATCCTTCTATCCATCTTTCTCTCTCTCTCTCTTTCTTTCTCTCCTTCTTCTTTTACTTCAGATGTCAAGGGAGATAAAAGGTCTAGCTCTTGTTCTTCTGGTGGCCCCAACCATTGTTAATTGGTGCTATTGTAGTGTGTCTTTGTTGTTGTCTCTCCATCTTCTTTGGGGTCTGCCTTTGACCTTCTCCTTTTTTACATGCTTTGTATGGTTATGGAACTCCAAGACATCCTCTCCAGGTGAGCAAATCACTTTATTTGCTGTTTTTATATGCAATCTAAGACTGGTTCTACATCAATTCTTTTTCTTATGGTTTCATTTCTGATTTTCTCTCGTATGGTCACTCCAGCAGTTTTCCTCAAAAATCCAAGACAAATGGTTCTCAAAAGTCTCCAGCAATGGAGCATTCACAATTCCAAAGACAAGCTGTTCCACTGATTAATTAATCATTCTCACTGTCAGGATGTTTCTCCTTAGTTCCAGGTTGGAATCTAGCTTATTGCTTCTTGTTCTGTCCTCAGGTAGTTTGCAGAATAAATCAATCCTTTCTCTGTGACAGCCCCTCAAATATTGGAAGACACCTATCATCTCTCCCTATTCTTCTCAACAGACATATCTAGTTCCCTTAACCATTCATCGTATGGTTTAGCCTCCATACCCCTAATCCTCTTTGTTGTTCTTCTCTGCACTCTTTCTACAATACAATCTTTTTGTATTGTGGTGACCAGAATTGGATCAGTGCAGTATAAAGCAGTACTATTGTTTCCTGTGATCTTGATGCTCTCCCTCTGTTGATACAATCTAGGACTGCACTGGCTTTTTTGGCAGCTCCTGCACACTGCTAATTCATACTTAAGGTCTACTAGATCCCTCTCAGTTACTCCTATTGAGCCAGGTACCTCCTATTGTGTACCTGTGCGCCTGGTTTTTCCAAAGTGCAGGACCTTATTTCTCTTGCCAATGAAGAACTGAATCTTTTGAATAGGGCCAATGCTTAATTCTGTCAAAATCGTTCTGAATCTTGAGTCTGTCTTCCAAAGTGTTAGCAATTCCCCTCAACTTGCTATCACCTGCAAATCTGATGAGCTCCCCTTCATCTAGAAGTTGAAGAGTACTGGGCACAAGACAGAACCTTGAGGTACCCCCTGCTTACTTCCCTCCATGTAGAAGTAGTCCCATTAAGGACTACATATTGAGTGTGGTTAGTCAGCCAGTTATGAATTTATCTGGTGGTCACATTTTTCTATCTTGCCAAGAAGTAGGTTGTGGTCTCCCTTGTCAAATGCTTCACTGAAATAAAAATGTACTATGTTCACAGCATTTCTCTGGTTCACTAATTTAGTCACTTTGTCAAAGAAGAATGTAAGGTTTGTTGAACACGGTCTGTTTTTAACAAACCATGCTGGCTTCATTATTGATTTCTAGGTGCTCACAAATTTGCTATTTGATTATCTTTTTTAGGATTTTCCCAGGTATTGATATTGTATACTGGCTTGTAACTCTCTTTTTACTCTCCTGAAGCATCATTTTCCATCCCAACCAATCAAGGCCAGAAGCAAATAAAGAGGGAGCAGCCTCTTCCTCTCTGCACTCCTCGACTTCCTCCTGGAACAGAGGGCAGGGGAAAACAGCAATTCCCCTTCTGTGTTTTCATATATACGCACAATAAGATTAAACACCTGTGAAATCATCAATTCTCTTAGTAAAAGTTAACTGATCCTGGAACTGCAACAAGAAACTCTCTTCAGGTTATATATTAAGGCAGAGAAGAGAAAATTAAGGACTGCAATTAAGCCTGATTGGAAAAAAAGAGGGACTTTTTGGATCAAGGCGTATGTCAGATGTGGTATGAAGTGTCTCTCCAAAGGTGAAGTTCTTGGGCACTGAACTGTATCTGAACACTATCAGTAACTTCTTACCGAGCTGACGTCCCAAATCTTGAGAGTTTTGTCATCGGAGGCAGAAACAAGAAGATTAGAATCAGATGACCAAGCAACATCAGAGATTCCCTGCAAAACAGAAAAAATGATTTCTTCTTCACCCAAAGTTTGAAAAATGTCATCCCTCCCCAGGAGCTGGCCCTACCAACTGCCGGGTGATCAGGAGTTGCTCATGAGAAGCCAGACTGCTAGGAAACCTCAGGGCTGTAATGACATTTGGAAGCTTAAAACAAAATTGGAGAGCAGCAATAATCATCTCTTTTATAACACCTACATGGACATCACAAAGAATTAGCTTGACCTGGAAAAGCCTTCGTTCAGGAGGGGACAGGTGCACAGGTGTATCTTTCCATTCAGAGAAGAATGGCAGCAGATTCCTCCAGCAAATGCTTTACTTGATACAACTCTGATGTGTCCAACTACTCCTCAGTAGTGGTTTAGGAAGTGCTTTCAAAATCTGTCTCCCTGTGTTTGTGGTCAAACATTGTCTAATCTAGAAAGCTCTCTTCCCTTTATACTTTTTGTCCCCAAAGTATGATCTGTCTAATGTTATGACCGAGAGGCCACCTCAGTGATAGAAGCCAGGCTGTAACTTCCTCCTCATGGCTTATTAGAACTCCTCCTTAGGAAGGATTTTGCTAAGCAAGAGGATCCTATATCTTGGGACCATCTTAGTTAAATCTGCAAGGAGCATCAAACTCCCATCCCATGTATCATACTTACCAGTTTATGTCCAGACATTGTTTTTTCAAACTTGCCATCATAAGCACCCCAAATTTTAATCAGCTTATCAGCCGCTAAAAAAAAAGGGGAAAAAGTGAAAATGATTATAAAAGTCAGTTTGCCACCCATAACTTTGTTTGCTGTGAAAGCAAGTAGATCTCATTTAATGTTGTTTAGTTATCATTTGAAGTTATGATGGTGCTGGAAAAGGGGTACTTATGACAGGTAGTGGCCCTCAGTGTGTCCCTGCAGTCACGTGATTGGCATGTGGAAGCTTGGCAACTGGCAGACAGTTAACCCGGTGAGAGTTGGAGAAGGCAGGAGCTGCTTTCCCACTCGGATGACGAGGGAGGCTAAGCACTAACCAGCAGAGCCAGCCATAAAGTATTGTGAACACGGAAATTTCACTTTCATCTTTACAAATGTCCAGCCGACAAAGCGCGCTTAAGACTTTTCTATTTTATCAAGCTGGCCTGGCCTAAATCTTCCCCCTTTTTAAATGTGGAAATTTTAAATTTTTAAATTTTAAATTCGTCTTATTTATAGGGGTATGGGTAAGGCGTTTTAAATTGGGGAGCCATTTTAGATTTAATTCTGTTTTAAACGTATTTTAATTGTTTATATTGTATGTTTTTTAATTTTGGCTGTTCACCGCCCCGAGTCCTTCGGGAGAGGGGGCGGTATAAAAATCTAATAAATAAATAAATAAATAAATAAAATCTATTCACAGTGAGCTCTGATAAAGAATTCCAAAGTTCAGGGCCTTCCACTTGTCTCCGCCCAGTCCAGATCATGGAGAACCAGTGTATGTTGTGCAAAATTATGAAATGTTTATACCAATCATAAAAATACCCTTCCTTGATACAACACTGAGCATATAAACAGCCTTAAGAAATCCTAATTCTGCCAGTTTTACAGATGCTCTGAAATAATGTGCTCACCCACTGTACCAAGGACAATTTTTCTTCGGTTAAAATGTCATGTATAACTTAAAAGAAAGTACAGATAACAAATGCACAATTAAAATAGCAATAAGAAGTAGAGTACCAGACTCCTGCATTTTGAAATATAGCATATTATCGACATTGCTTTAAACCTTTCAGATATCTGAACCTGATACTCAAGAAGAGAACAAATGGGAAGCCATGCCAGCTTCCCAGAGAGCAGAGATTCCACAACTGGATGCCTTGGAGAGGAAAATGATGTTACCAGCTGCTTTAACTGCAGTGATAATTGCAGAAGGTCTGATGAGGACACACCAGGAACCAATAGTCTGTAGAGCTTCTGTGTCATCCAGGTCATGGTTGTCCCAAAGATGCTTTTTCAGGAGGCAACTGGACTTCCTTGTTTTTTCTTTTGAAGACATTTCGCTTCTCATCCAAGAAGCTTCTTCAGCTCTGATAGGATAGTGGGGAATGGAGCCCCTGTCAGAGCTGAAGAAGCTTCTTGGATGAGAAGCAAAATGTCTTCAAAAGAAAAACAACAACAAAGTCCAGTTGCCTCCTGAAAAAGCACTTTTGGGACAACCAGGAACCAAGGCAAACTGCTTCTCTGGAGCCACCCCAGTCAAAACCCCTGCTCTTCCAAACCCATCCCAAGGACACTGGTGGGCTTCTGAATAACAATTGCTCAGAAGGAAGCCTCCACTGTGTGACACATATATCCAAAAATGTAAAAAAAAAAAACCTAGACATTTGGCTTCTACTTTAAAATTACCATTTTAATTTTAATTCTTTTAACTGGGATTACATGCTGTAGAAAGAAAAGAAGGGAACAGAAGGATACTTACAAGAACTAGCCAGCCACTCCCCGTTGGGACTGAATTTTACAGAGGAGACGGCTTTGGTGTGTCCTGCCAATGTGAACTTCAGGGCATAGTTGGGTTTCACAGGTGCAGGCTGGCAAAAGAAAGTCATGTTAGGTCAAGAAACAACTTGTCCTCTTTACACACGGCCAAGCAGGGGCTATGCAGTTCCATCACTTGCCAGGATCCCCCCCAAACCTGCTCTTTGTACCTCCCTCCCGGCAGCAGAGGAACAAGGACTGGGGCCTTGGCAGAGAGCTCTGCAGGAAGGCTGCCTTGGCTTCAGAGAGGCCAATAAAACAATCCCAATAAAACAACAATTGGGAGATCTATTATTTCATGGCCCTTGTCTCTGAAGTTTTGCTCCAATGCTTTCAAGATGGCTCTTCAGTGCTTTTTTCCTAGGGTTGAAAGAAAGCAACTGGCCTAAAATCACCCAGGCAGCTCCCACACCCGAGGGGAGATTAGAACTCGGTCTTGGTCTGGCTTCTAATCCAGCCCCTTAACTGCTACGAAAAACTGGCTTTCAGGATCCTTTTATTCGGATTGATTGAATTAACAGAGAAGTATGTGAAAACAAGATGGTGCAAATACAGATAATGAGTCACCTTTGAAATCTGCTCCTTCACCAATTAGAAGACAGTTTTAATAAGTGTCTAAAAATTCATTTTTAGAAGAGAGTTCTCCATTCAGAGAACTAAATGAAGATTTTTGGGCAGAAGCCATTTTTCTGCAAATGCCATGTATCTGCAAACGGCTGCCTGGCAGGGGGGCTGTGACATTTGCATCCTCCCAGCAAAGCAGCTGGAAGGCAGAGCTAGACTAACTGGAACGAAGTCTGACCCTAGACAGAAGTTCCTTTGCAACAGCATATTCAGATCAACTGGCAAAGCTGTTAACCGTCACAAATCCAGTACTGTGTGGTTTCCTCTTTAACATTTTACTGTCCTGATGAAGATAAATTTATTAGGCTATTCAGATATAGTTTGCATCTTTCCAAGAACTTTTTAAGAAAAATACTAGAGTCAGGCACACTTTGAGAATGTTACAGGTGGAGATCGGGGCTCAGTTCTGGAGCACAGGCTTAATGCAGAGAATCGAAGAATTTCGAATAAAAGAATTGCAGGCTGTATGGCTAGAAAATGTCCATTTGTATCTGGTTCTATTCTCAGTTGTTGACATGTAAATTGTTTTGAGTTGTGCTTTGTTCTAATTATGGCAGATACAGGTGGTCCTTGGCTTACAATAGTAATTGGGACCAGAACGGCAGTTGTTAAGTGACACAGTCATAAAATGTGACATCAAGTGACCATGTCACTTAGCACTGGCAATTCCAGCAGTCCCAGCTGCAATTGTTAAGTTGCAATTTTGAATTCCTGCCAGTTTCCCTATCGACTTTGCTTGTGGGAAGCCAGCAGGGACCCTGTAACAATTGGAACTACAAGGGCCCATATTTTAAGTACCATTTGCTAAGCAAATGATCATATCTTGAGAACTACCTGTATCTCAAAAGTTTGATCAGTAGCTAGAATAGAAATAAAGATGTGTTTCTTATATATGGCACATTTTCAGATGCTCAGTATCCAACTCTTTATCTACATTATAGTAGAACCTTTTTTGTATTTCCCATATTTTTCTTTCTTTATTTGTATCTTGGATTTATATGTTAACATAGTTAGTTGATATTGCTCAAATCAATAAAGTTCTGGCAGAAAGTTACTAGAATATAAATACGTGAATTCAACAATTGCAAAGTTGCGGTTGTGGTTAAACCTATCACGTACTGGAACAGATGGCACAATAGCCTGCTTCTCCCGTCACAAACATAGTTTATGCTTAGATGTGATGGCTCCATGAGCAACTAAATCCTACAAGCAAGAAGAGAGGTAAGTATTCTCTCAGCAAAATGCAGGTTTTCATGTTCCTCGGACTCTCCCAAGGAATTCTACTTGGACTTCCAGGCCAGAAGCTTTCCACTCACCTTGCTCTGATTAGTTGAGGAGGAAGGAGCCGACTGTGGTTTGGCTGACTCTGCATCAGGTTTCTTCTCTTCCGTAGCCATGATGGTGGGAAGCACAAGCCAGGATTAGGCGGTCTCAAAGGAAGGTTCACCTCTCTCTGGGGAGAGAAAGAGAAAAGGCATTTTACTTTTAAGATACTTAAGGCATCTGAGAGCAGCAACATGACCGTGGCTGGGAAGACGCAGTGGGGCATTTCACCCACCAGTGAAATAAGTTGGGAGGGAGGACGCATCCCAGGACATTGTGAAGCCGTCCAAGGGCAGTGAGCTTCTGCCAGCCAACCTACAAAGCCCATAAGTGGCTCTGGAAGGCAAGTCCCATCCCGACAAGGCAATCAACTGCAGGGCCAGGCTTTTACCCAGGAAGCCTGTGTGGCACAATTGGCTTCCCCACCCCCCGCAATAATATGAAGGGGACGCGGCAGACTTCTGTGGATTACTCAGGAGGGGCCCAAAGTGAAGCAGGAGGGAGGCTGCACAGCCCCTTCCAGCAGCTCATTGCCCCCCCCCCCACATGGCCCTTGAAGAGGCTGGACTTCGACTCCCACCATTCCCCAGCCAGGTAGTTGGGGGATTATGGGGGTTGAAGTCCACCTTCTTCCAGTGCGGGGGGAGGGGGCGGGGGGACCCTCCCAGGCAAAGGAGACGCAGCCAGCAGAAGGGGGGGGTCTCTCTTGTGGGGGGGGGTCCCGGACCCGGCCTTCCCCTCCACGGTCACCAGAGCAGGGAAGCCTCGCAGGACCACCCGGGAGGAGCGGCGGCCGCAGCGGCGCGAGGGAAAGCCTCCCGAGGACCTCCAGCGGGCGGAGGCCCCAAACGGACCGTCCGCCAGCGGCGCCGCGTGGGATGGAGGGCCCGGAGGCTGCGGCCGGCCTACCACGCCCGCCCGTCGGCGCGGCTGCCGGCTGACTCACCGGGCCGCTTCCTTCGCGGCGGGTCTCGCGGGGTCCTCGGGCTCCGCCGCCGCCGCCGCCTCCCTGCGGGCCGCCCGGCGGGAGGGAGGGAGGAGGGAAGAGGGAGGGGAAGCCGCGCGAGGCCTCGCGCAGGCGTACTGCGGGCGGTCAGGCGAGGCAGGCCCGACGCCGCTCTTTGCGCTGGGCTTGCCCTGCTCGCGCAAGCGCAGAGGCTCCCAGTAAGGCGTGCCGGGACACGCCGGGCGGAAGCGCCTCTCGCGGCTACGGCGGGCCTAGAGGATCAGGAGGCGCAGGCGCGTAGTCGGGTTCGGCGGGAACTTCCCAAGGAGGGAGGACGACTCCGCAAGCGCAGCTCACGGGCTGAAACGTCGTATCTCATTCTCATACAGGGGTCTCCAAACTTGGCAACTTTAAGACTTATGGACTTTAATTCTGGGAGTTGAAGCCCACAAATCTTAAAGTTGCCAAGTTTGGGGACCTGTCATAGAGCAACAGGAGAATCCGTCCAACAACGCGGAAAACGTAAACTAGCCTCCAGCGGGGGCTCCAGCTGCCTGGATCTTCGGGGAATCCTTCCGGGCGCTGCAGCGGAGACCCAGCCCTGCTTAATGGGTCCCTAGAGATGAAGCTGTTTAGGGACCCGGAGTCTGCAAACTCTGGCAGATCAGATCGGCAGGTGAACTCTCAAGTAACCAGGCACTGTATGAATGAAGTAAGGCTTTACGGGTCACAACCAACACTTGAAACACACCCAGAAGAAAACTGGCCACCAGTGTAGTTCACAAAGCAGAAGTGCCCATGGCTGCCCGCCCTGCTGAATTCTAGACCGGAGGAAGCTTCTCATTCATTGGGCTTCAAGGGCAGCTTGAAGTGCAAGTAGTCCTTGACTTACGAACGCTCAGCAGCCATTTGAAAGTACAGTGGTGAATGGACTATCAGGGAAGGTCACAAGCCGCTTCCTTTCTCCTGCCCAGTGTGCCTGTTCCCCTCCCTTCCCTGGGCCAGAAAGTTAAAAAGATTTTTTGGCTCAGGGAGGGCAGCGGTGATTCTGCCCTCCCTGAGGGGCACAAGTTGGAGAAAGAAAACGCTGTATGCCACCACTACCAGGCTGGAAAGTTAGGCCCCTGTAGTGGGGAGGGGACCTGGTCCACTGGGCAGGAGAAAGGAAGCAGGGCTCCTCGGGGTCCAAGCTTCCTTTCTCTGGCCCAAAGTGCTGGTTCTGCACACGGAGAGGAGCCGCCAGCCTTTTACTCATTTTGCTTAGCATCTGGGAGTGCTGGGACAGTGGTCGTTGAGTGAGGCAACCATGCAGGCAATTCACTTAACGACCACAGCAACTTATGGTTGTAGTGGGGAGGTTTTGTTACAGTCCTAAATCAAGGATTATCTGTATAGCATTCTGCAATTGTGGGTGTCTAGGGCAGGACCCAAGTCAGGGGCCGATTCTATCTCAGATCCTGTGCTTGGTTCTGCTGGTGCTGTGCAGCTTCCCTGGGTTTCCCTGATTCATCAGACTTAAAAGTATTCCATTTTAAGCTACTTGTCAACCTCAAATGATTACACTTAATGTAATAATTCCGCATGCAGTCAATCATTTTCTCCTCTTATGAATAATCCTACACTGAATGAGTGAACAATCCTTTGATTTTATTACTTTACAGTGACTGAATGTTTCCAACAAGAAATTGCAGTTATGGAAATAAATCAGTGCTGGGTAGACCCGAACAGCTGAACAGCAACAATATGTACCATGTATATTACAATGATAATTTATTAAAATTGTAAGCCACTCAATAACTCAGGGCAGTTCATAGCAAAGTAATTACTATTACAATAAAAGATGAAAACTGGCAAGTGTAACAAAGCCAGGGGCGTGAAAGGCATGTGAAAGTAACTATGGGAGACTGGAAGAAGAGTCACAGCCTAAACAGCCTAGATCTGATGAATGAAATCCAAATCCAAAGGATAGGAGGGTGTCAGAAGGGACCCTCCCTACTTCTCTGAAAACTAGGGTGTGGAGAACAGTCCTTTCAGACTTGCAAGGTTCAGTTATTGTAACCTTATAGTAAGAGCATTACAGTCACTGAAGAAGTCCTTGATTAACAATGATGATACAGAGGAATTTGTCTTAAGGAATTTGTCCTTAAGAGGCATATTTGTAAAGTGTGATGTCAACCTAAGCAAGCCTGACACTCCGTTGCCATTGTTAAGCAAGGACGGCGAGTCCCAGGTAAATGGCTGCTGCCCTATGGGGAGGGCATGTGGGTGGCCAGCATGGCATGAGCACAATGAGCGTGTGGGGGAGAGTGAGAGTAACTAGCATGACTTGCCACCTTCCCCATTAACTTTGCTTGTAGGAAGCTGGCAGGAAAGATGGCAAATAACTATCACCTGACTTTGAGATGCTGCCAACTGTTTGTCTAAGGCAGCTGCCAGGTGCCCAGATTGGGGCCATGTGGCATTTAGGGCTGCTGGGACAGCCAGAACTTTGAGGACCCATCCTAAGTACCACCCAGTACCACTGTAACTTTGAATGGTCACAGGACAAGTGGTCAATATATGAGGACTACTCGAATTTACGGTTTTGGAGCCAAGTTTTCACAGCTCTAACCAACAGCAGAGTTGGGCACATCCAGATCTCTGGGGGAACCACAGAGCAGGTGCTGCTGCAGAGAAGGCTGGCTTCCGAGGTCTGTCGGAACATGGCGTGTGCCAGTCTTGCAGGAACCAATTGGCCGAGCAGATGCTGTGGGAGGCAGGTGTGCCCTCAAGGAACCATGCGCTGGCTATGGCAATGCAGACTTTGTAGGTACACTTTGCATCTTGCTTGCAAACAAACCACCAACCATACCCCTCGGAAGGCAGGGGCGTTGCAAGGGAAGACTGAGGCACGCATGCCCATCCATGGCTGCTGGAGACGCCGCATTCTGGACCAGTCCAAGCTTCTGGGTGGTCCTCACGGGCAGCCCCACATGGAGCATGTTACAGTAGTCAAGCCGGGCATTTGAAGGGTCCCCGACCCAGGAACCCGCGCACAGGCCTTCCCTGAGACCCCTGACAGGAGGGGCCGCCCCGTCCATGACGAAGAAGGGCCCGAGGAGAGGCGCTCCGGCCGCCCCGGGAGGCTCTGCCAGGCCTTTCGCGGCCTCCACCTCGGAGGCTTCCAGGGCAGAAACGGAGCCGGGGGATGCCTGGGCCGCTTGCGCGACGGGGCCGACTCCGGCCTTTCCCCCGCGAGGCCGCCTCGGTCGCTGGTACGGAGCCCCGGCAAAACCTCCCCCGACGGGGCCCCCGAGCGGAGGCCTACCTGGCCGGGCCGCCGCCGCCGCCGAGCGCTTTGTTGGCGGCGCGGCGAAGAAAGGCGGCGCGCGAAGGCTGGGGCTTGTAGTCCCCGCCGGGCGGAGCGCCGCGCCAGGCCGCGCCAGCGAACTACGCTTCCCGGCGGCCCGCGCGGCCGGCGCATGAGCGCAGCGCTGCGCCCCGTCCGCGCATCAGCCCGACTGGCCTCGGCGGGCGGCAGCGGACCGGAGCGGCGGCGGCGGCGGCGGCGGCGGCAGGAGCGGCTTGGTACGCAGCGCCAGCCAGCCAGCCAGCCAGCAGCCGGCCAGCCTGCCCGCCCGCCCGCCGGCCTGGCCAGGCGGGGGCGGCGGCGGCGGCGGCGGCGGGGGCGGCGGGCCCAAGTAAGCGGGCGGGCGGGCCAGGCCGGAGGGGAGGGGAGGGGAGGGGAGGGGAGGGGCGCCGCGGGGACCCCAACCGCCGCGCGGGGGGAGGGGCGCCACAGCAACAAAGGCGGGCGGGGGGGGGGGCGGGAAGCGACTCCCCCTCCGCGCCATCTTCGCCGGCGGCGGCGGCCACACAAAGGCCGGCGCCATTCGGTGGGCCCGGCGAAGTGGCGCCTCCGGGGGCGGCCGAAGCCCGGCCGGGCCCCCCGCGGATCGCCCCTTCTCCCGGGGCCGGCAAGCGGGGGTTCCCGAGTGTGCCTGGAGGGGCCTCTTACCGGGGCCCGTCCGTCCGTCCTCCCTCCCCGCCAAGCGACCTCCTCCTGAGCGGGGGAAGGTGCGCCCCTCGCGGTCTCCGCCGCGGCGCTTCCCCCGAAGTTGGGGCGGCCTCCCCGGTGGGCTCCCACGCGGCCTCCGCCAGCCCCGGCCGGAGGGCAGCTGCCGGCTCTTCTCCGCAGCGGAGGGAGGCGTGGGGCTCCCCGGGGGGCTTCCTGCCCTCTCCTTCTCCTTGGGCTGCGGGGCCGGTGCGCAAGCTGAGCTCTGCCGGGATGGAGGGGGCCGCCGCCGCCGCAGTTCCCCACCGGGCTGGGCGAGACAGGCAGCCATTCATCGCTGGGCGGTTCGGGGGTTCCCCGGCTCGCTTGCTTTTCCTCCAAAATTCCCAGCTGCCAAAGTCCTGCAGCCCCTTCTTAGCTTTGGTCAAAGAAGACCGGCCTGGCAGCCTGGAAGAGCCGGGAAGAAAGTTACTGACACCTGTCAAAACTTCAGAGTCGGTCGGGGAAGAAGCTTTGGAGGACTGGCAGGTTGCTGGTGGCCCCACTGGGCTGCTGGGGACCCGGCTCTCAAGCTGGACCGGGAAGCCTGGGTGCAAACGCAACTCCCTGTTAGTCCAAATGGTGAATGGATTTTGCTCAGACAGAGACCTGCGTAAAAGTTATGCTAAACCACACATTGCTAAACATGCCATAATTGATTGGGGGAAAGACCAGACCAGAGCCCAGCCCGATTGCCCAGATCAGAGGCCCCTGGGAAGCCTGCCTCTGGAGTCCGGCAGAAAAGTTCTCCTGTCCTGTAGGGAGGTGTTCTTTGCCCCATCCTTTAAGGGAAATGGTCAAAATGCATTTCTCTCATCAGGCTTTGAACTCTTAATTGGTTTTAGTTTTATGGGTGAATGGACTTCATATTTTGTGTTTTTTTTAACTGTTGCAAGCCAACTTGAGTGCTTTATATTAGCAGAAGGCAGGTGCAAATTTCATCATAAATGCCACATTTTGGAGGGACGATTGTAAACCCTGGCATATTTAGTGGGCAGCAACAAAGCTACTCTATGGCTGAATGCAGAGTATGGTTTGAGCCAGTGTTTCTCTGGGCATTGCTTGGTGCTGATGGACTTTGACCCAAGGCAGAAAAGTGCACACACAGCCAGTGCACTATTGAAGTCTCCCCCCCCCCAACTTTCAGCCTCCTTAAAGAGCAGGTAGGAACTCCCTTTCTCTTTCCCACCAGAGGTAACGAATTCAGTTCTCAGGAGGGGACTTGAGGCTTTTAGGTTGCCGTAGAAAAGGTCACTTTGCTCAACTCTGGCTCTGAAGTTTGGTTTCCAACCTGTAACTCTCTGGAATAGTCCTACTTTCTAATATTTATTCTAAACACTTAGAGGATAGTCTTTGGATTGCAGGACTAATTGATTGGAGCTTTTGAAGAGCAGAAATTCAATAACTAACTGCGGTGGAGGCGTCTATCAATACTTAAGTGCACACCTAGGAATAAATCCATTTGCCTATAAGATTACAATGGCCCTGTGATTGCACTGCTTTGGTTGTCAAGTAACATTTCCTATTCCTGCCCAGGTGGTGCTAAACTACCAAGCCCAGCCGGCACAGAAGTTGTTGAAGAAGTTAGGAGAGATGCTTGTGCTCCCTCTTCCAGCCCTGCCTGGGGAAGATGGGTGAAAGGGAGAGGGCCTCTCATAAGTTGTGGATGAACTTTGGAAGCTGAATGTGTACTTTGTTAGCCTAATTTGGTACTTAAGTTGTGTGCCTCCGTCCCGTCCCGTCCCGAGTGGATTTATTCAGCAGTGAGTCTGATAGAATAGCCTCATTTCAGAGAGTGCAGGCTTCATCTGTAACCTTTTGAGACGTTCTGTGTCTTGGTTCACACACTGCCTAACACGTTGTTTTCTTAAGCATGGCTCATTGAATGAGCCGTGATGAGTTAACGTTTGCACTTCAAGCTATCTGAGCTTTACCAACTGCAGTACAGTAGCCGTTTCATAGAAAGCAGCTGAAATGGCTTTGTGCAGTCAGGCCGACTTCAGCCATCTCTTCTGCCTGGGCTTTTATGTGCCATAGAAACAGTGTTGCCTAGCAGTTGAGGTTCTGTGGGGTCCTTGGCGCTCTGTGAGCTTGGCTGTTTTCTTTCAGACGTTTCATTACCCAATTAGGTAACATCATCAGTTCTAGTAAGGAGTGCTGTTTGCTGTCAGTTTATATTCTGGTGTCTTGCCTGTCTGTGTGGGTGGGGACTTCTTAGGGCTTCTTTGTTTGGGCTGTTTACTGATGGCTCTTTGGCAGTTTCTTGATTGTTGGTCTGAAGTTAACCTGGAGTTAATCTGGCTGATCTGGGTGCTGATTGCTGGTGGAGAGGTGTTGGGGTCTTTTTGGTTCTCTTTTGAGCTGGTTGATGGTCTTTTTTGCATAATCTGTAGATGTTGTTAATGCCTATGTGTCTGTTGATGGCTGATTTGTCAGAGTGCCAGGCTTCTAGAAATTCCCTGGCATTTTTGGACTTGGCCTGGTCTAGGATGCTCACATTTTCCCAATTGAAACGATGGTTAAATCTGTCTCTATATTGTGAAATTAAATAATTTTTGTCTTGTCTTCTGACTGCCATGGATGCATTCTGCCAGTCTTCCACCTGTTATAACTGTATATAATATAGTTAATTTGTATACACATATAAACGTTAAAAGTTTACGATCTTGTGGGACTGCTTTCCAGAGCTGCAGCTTGGGCATGCCTGGTATAGGGAGCAGGGTTTGCTCTCATTTTATATGCCCGTGGCTTGCCCTGTCAGTGTGGGTGGAAGTGGTCTCAGTGGTTCTTGGCGGTTCTTTGTTGTTTATTGTTAGCTTGTTTGTCCGAGTTGGGGTACCATCGCAGTGCATTGAATTTAATGTTTCCCTCCTATAAAAAAACCGGAGGTGCAGTGGAGGCTTTGCATCTCTGGAGGTCTCTGCTATGCTGGTTTGTGGAAAGGAGTTTTGGCTTTTGAACATCCCGCTCTGCCTGAATCACAGGAAAGCAGAAGGAGCTACGCTGGTTCATGTGCTACGGGCACCTTCTTCATGAGGATGTCTAAGCTTATTCCATTGAGGAAGTGTGCAAAAAGTTCAACTAAGAAGAAAAATCACTACTCTGGCTTTTTAAAAAACAGCTCAGCCGGCTGAATGGCTTTCTAAAATCACAGTCTTTGTAATTACTTGCCTTCCCCAGCAACAGGTTATGGAAGGAACTTGGGGTAAATCACCTGATTCCCTACGGTTGTTTTGGACTACAGCTCCCATAATTCCTAGTCACAAGGATCAGAGATGATGAAAACTCTTAATTGCCAGGAGGGCAGCGTGCAAAACTCAACTGCTAAGCAGCCTGCCAAAGAGTGGCAGACTGAAGTGGTTGGGTTGGCCGACTCCCAAGGTAGAAGGAGCCCCTGGATGGAGGAGAGCCATGGGATGGGGGTGGGGGGGGTGGAGGTGCCGCCTGCGGGATTTAAGTGCTGCCTTATAACAGAGAAGTTTCTGGAATCCAGAATGCAGCAGCCTCGGAGCCGAAATAAAATGGTACTTTGTGCCTGCTAGACCCCCCCTCATCATTTGGAGGCTGCTTGACCTTTATGCTTTATCTGTTACTTCATTTATTCACAGCAATAAAAAATTCTGGGGAGAATTGCAGCAATTTTTCTGTCATTCAGGTTTATTGTTTCTGACAAATACGAAAACCGGATGCCCGAAAATGTGTGTCTGTGTGTGTGTGTGTACGCCTGCATGCCATTCTTGGGAAAAGTTAGCTTTTTCTTTCTTTCTGTGTGTGGGACTCAGGAGTTCTTTTTTCTTGGCAAAGTAATTGGTGAGAGCCAATTTGGTGTAGCAGTTAAAGGAAACCAGAAGAATGCAAATTGTCATCCTCCCTTAGGGGTGAAAGCCGGATGGGTGACTCTGGGGCAGGTGCTCTCTCCCCCTCTCCCCAACCTACCTCACAGGATTGTTGTGGAGAAAACAGGAAGCATTAAGCTATGTATGCTGCTTTGAATTAAAAAAATAAAAGCAGGATAAAAAACTAGTCCATAAGTAAACACAATTGCCAGGATCTGAGAAAGGTTTGCAGTCGCCCATCAGCTGTTTGCTGCCTTCCAGAGCCTCTTTTGTGACCATTTCTCTGCAGGGGGATCTGGGCAGGTTGGAGGGCAAAGCAAGTTCTTCTCCAGCACCAGCGGTGTCCCTGCTCCTCTGGCTCCTGGGCTCAATACAGGGGCTTTTCCTGGTCCTTTTCAGCTCTGGTTTCCAGGCAGGCAGGCAGGCAGGCCCCTCTGACTTCAGCATGGCAGTTGGAATCCACAGTGCACAGAGAGCGCCTGGTCGAGGTGCAGCCGCTTTCATTGAGGCACTTTGGATGAGCTTTTTGGGAGCTCCTGAGTGCTCAGACACGTTTCAAAGCATGGACTGAGTGCACTTTATGAGAGCCGGAGGATTAATGCTTGAGCTTCGACCCAAGAGCAGCCTCAGCATCTGGGCTCCACCTGATGACTGAACGAAGCCAGCACCTCGCTTTGCTTTGAAGCAGAGGCCTGGATAATGAGAGGTGGTGGTGCCCAGGAGGCGCCCTGGGAACGGTAGGAAGTGGCTCCATGAGTTCTGCATTACTCATGTCATTATTGTGCTTGAATATAACATTTACAGGGAGGCTGCTGGAATGAGTTTTCCAGAGCCCTTCCTTTCCCCCCCTTGCATCTTGCATCTCTTCAGGAGGGAAGGAACAAAAAACAACAACATACTTTTTTGGTTGTTAACACACAGGTAGTGGTAGCCGAAAGAGAATCGGAGAGTTGGATGATGGGTTGTGTGCAATCAGGAGAATTTACTGGATAGTTTCCCATCATTTATAGCCAGAAGTAACTTTGCAAATTCTAGGCTGTGGGAACTATTGTTTTAATCTATACCAACATTTTGGGGATTGATACCAAAGTATAAACTGTTGTTATGGTGATGAAAAACTGCTTCAAAATATCAGAAAAAAATGTGGTTAGTGCCTATGAGGGGAGAGGGGGAGGTTTTGCAAACTGTCCCCAACTTTGTGCCCATTTAGGTGGCTCCAAAGTGGTGGGGCTCCCTGCAGATTGGAAGGTCAGTTGCAGAAGGCCACAGCCTGGGCCATCCCTGCCCTTTGCGCTCTCTTCTGGCCACATGGATTGGCCCATGATAGGCAGAAATGTTTGAAGAAACCCTTGGTTCATGGTTTGGAAGTTTTTATTTTACTGAAACTCCACCCTCAAGAAAAGCTTTGCTCTTATGTGACTCATCTCTTCATATGGGGAGCTCTGTAACTATTAAACCCAGTGATGGGAGGCGTTTGGTGGAGTTTGTAGTTTTCACTGGGAAAAAAAGAGAGTCACTCCTGGAATAGATATATCTGTTGCCTTCTTCGGGACATTTCCCATATTTAAACAAATTATACTTCGGTTTATTATGTGAATCCTTGAAAAGATCAAATCTTTATTCACTTGAAATGACTGATGGTATAGAAATTGGATTTTGCTCTTGGTGTGTCATTTTATTTTATTGTCAGAATGAAAATGCCCCAACTGCCTTATGGTTAATAGTTTTAAATTATATAGTCCCTTTGCTAGTACTTTGAGTCACATTGTCTTAGCCTAATGTAAAAAAAAATACTGTGTTTTCCCGAAAATAAGACCCTGTCTTATAATTTTTTGAACCCTGAAATAAACGCTTGGCCTTGTTGCCATGTGGTCAGAAGCCCGATTGGGCTTATTATCAGGGGAGGTCTTATTTTGGGGGAAACAGGGTAATGTTTAGCTATTTTGAACAAACTATTTGTTTGCTTAGTTTCCTTACGAATGTTAAATGAAAACGAAGTCATCATATGGCTTGCCACGTATATGGATCGAGCCGCTGCCTTTGAACCCTGTTGCGTGCACCAAGGACAAAGAGCTGAACAAAATCAGTTATGGACCTTTGTGTCCATAAAGAAACTACTAGCAAAGAGTTAGTTGGAGTAAAGATTCTGACCAAAAAAAAAAAAATATGGGATCCTATCTGCCATTTTGTACTTGACTAAGGCAAATATTGACGGACTTCAATTTCCAAGAAAGAAAGGAAGGAAGGGAGGAAGGAAGGAAGGAAGGAAGGAAGGAAGGAAGGAAGGAAAGAAAAAGAAAGAAAGAAAGAAAGAAAGAAAGAAAGAAAGAAAGAAAGAAAAGTCACTTGTAGTTATGGAGGTCCTTGGTGCTCTCTGAGCTTGGCTGTTTTCTTGAAAATGTTCTTTTATCTTCGTTGATGACTGTAGGATTATCTGCTCTTTCTTCAAGAGGCAGGCATTGGCGGGGCTCCAGTTCAAATTTCACCTGAGGTTTTGTGTAACACACTAGATGCGGCCAACACAAAAGGCTTCAGTATGTTGTGGGAATCCAACCCTCGTTAAACCATAAAGGCACCTCTTCTTTGGGGCAGATCTTGTTATGTAGGCATAACTGTTGAAAAATTGGGGTTTGAGACTTCAGAGTGTGTGCTACGTTTCCTCTGCCCATTGAGAAGAACTAGCCCTGGCCTTAGAAAGGGGATGTGATAGAAGCCCCTCCCCGCTTTCCCCGATGTCTGTAATGGTCAGGGTGGTGCCTCTGAGCTTGTCAGTTTGTTTGCAAAGGCTCTCTGTCTCTCTGAAAATCACCCGTGGCTGGCAGGTGGCAGTTTGCTGTACTTAATAAGCATATCACTGATGGGGCCTCTCAATATCTTTAGGAATGTTCTGTTCTGCATGTGGGTTTTCTTTTATGTAAGGCTCTTCATTTGAGCCGTAAACCTGGATGGCTTACGGCCCCAGAGAGTTGGTTGCCTCTTCCTCTGCTCTGGGGTGAGTGATGGGGATGCAAGATAGGAGTCTGAAACTCTCCAAATGGATTACATTTATTTCTGGAGTGCCAAGTAATCATGGAATCTGGGAAAAGAGGTTGAATGCTTTGCCCCCAAAATGTTTCGCTTTCCATAATGCCATCTGAAGAAACTGACCATGCTTTTTTTCCTTGCTCCTTCAGGCTGCGTAGCTGGTCCCTGGAAATGGGATGCCCATCCCACGCGGGGAGCATAAAAGGCGGCCCTCTTCCTCCTCCTCCTCCCTTTTGCTGCGGCTGCCCTCAGTGAAGCCAGGAGGCGGGGAACCATGTCTGCCCTTACATCAGCCATCCAGGCCCCCCAGGGGCCGGTCAACCCTCCTCCCCCAGAGGTCACCAACCCTACCAAGCCTGGCAGGAAGACGAACCAACTGCAGTACATGCAGAATGTGGTGGTGAAGACCCTGTGGAAGCACCAGTTTGCCTGGCCCTTCTATCAGCCAGTTGATGCCATTAAATTAAACTTACCGGTGAGTGATATTTCCTGTGTGTGTGGCTTTCTCTTTTTTTAATGTCACTGTCAAGTCATTTAACATTTAACTTCTGCACCATGGTTAAATTTAAAATCAGGACATGTTATAGACCAGGGGTGTCAAACTCAAGACCCACAGGCCAGATCTGGCTCTCGGGGTGCTTAAATCCGGCCCATAGGCCCGGACTGCAAATATCAAAGGACCAGGCCACGGTGCCTCTGCTGGCCAAAACGGGCCACGCAGGGGCCTCAGGAGCCTCCATGCAGACCGTTTTTGGCCAGCAGAGTGCTGCAGGAGGTGTTCGTCCCATCTGCCCCCCCCCCCACTCCCTGCCCCCCCTTCCCCCTCCTGCTGGCCCACAGTGGAGAACTACAATGCTGATCCGGCCCACGAAGAAATCCAGTTTGACCCCCCTCCTATAAGATGATATTGTGTGAAGGTGCCTTTTGAAGCTGTCTGCAAAAGGAGTTAAAATTGTCATCTTGAGTGAAAAGCGAGATTCAGGAGGTTCTCTTGGCTCTTTGGTTCCAATTAAAGGCCATGTTTGATAGGCACGTGCTCCTGAAGATGGAACAATTGGTCCATAACACAGCTCCGTTTTCCCTGTGCATGTGGAGTTTGGGTTTTGAGGTGGCAGTCAGAATCCTGCCTCCTAAGAGAATTATCTAGTCACTCTCTATGTGCTTGTGTTGCTAAATGGAAAGATTCCCACCCCATCCTTGGAGAGTAAACATTGCATCACCTTCACCATGACAGCAAAAATAACAGCTTTCTGATGTCTTGCAGTAGGCTTACTGGCTCTTTTAAGTAGTTCAGATCCTGCAGGATTTTGCCTTAACTTTCCAGATTCCCAAAGCAAAACAGCCGGTCAGCCTAATTTCTTTCTCTTCCCCCTTAATTATTTTATTTATTTATTTGAAATCCAGAAGAAAATAAGGAAATCCCCAAATATTGTTGAATTTTAGCTGAGGCAAACATGACCACTCACATGGAATGATGGCACTTTGGCATCCCATCTCAAATGAAACAAAGCCAAGTAGAACAAAAGTGACTTCCAGTCTGGCTCAATATTTTGTTTCCGATAAAAGGCAGGAAAACACAAAATAGCACTTATATATCGCTTCACAGTGCTTTACAGCTCTCTCTAAGTGGTTTACAGAGTCAGTCTATTGCCCCCAACAATCTGGGTCCTCATTTTAGCAACCATGGAAGGATTGAAGGTCAAGTCAACCTTGAGCTGGTGAAAATCAAACTGCTGGCATTTGAAAAAAAATTTTTTCCAATCATCGTTGTCGTCATCATCATCATCATCATCATCATCATCATAGAGCTCGAAGGGAGCTTGGAGATCTTCTAGTCCAACCTCCTGTTGAAGCAAGAGACCCTGGACCATTTCAGACAGGTGGCTGTCCAGTCTCCTCTTAAAAACCTCCAAGCCTGCTATCATGTCACCTCTAAGTCTTCTTTTCTTTAGACTAGCCAGACCCCAAACCTGCAGCCGTTCTTCATATGGTTTAGTCTTGTGACTGCTTTTCACACTTAAGACCATTGCAGCATCCCCACGGTCACGTGATCAAAATTCGGGCACTTGGGATGTATTTATGACGGTTGCATTGTCCCAGGGTGACATGATCCCCTTTGCGACCTTCTGAGAGTTTGTGAAAATCAGCTCTTAAAGACACTGGTTGGATTATTTTCTTTTGTTGGTATTTGCATTATATTGAATTCAAATATGAGGTGGTCACTCACCCAAAGTTCTGGCAGCTTCCACTCCCTCTTCCACTTCTTCTCTATTAGTAAGTATGGCTTTTCCTCTAGTTCCCTCCTCTGCCTTTTGGATGACAAAGTGGTCAGCTAGGTTGGTTAGGAATTTGTTCGATCTCCCACTTTCTGCAGAGTTTGTCTTCCAATTGAATATCAGGATAGTTAAAATTTCCCATTACTAGTGTAGTATGTTTCCTACATACATTTGTTAATTGTTTAGCAAAAAGTCCATCTATTTCTTTTGCTTGGTTGGGTGGCCTGCAGTATACGCCTACCGCAGTATCATTCTTTTTTCCTTTTATATTGACCAATATGGATTCTAGGAGGTTTTCATTGCTTGTTGTTACCATATAATATGGTACGGTAATAGCGGTTACCATATCTTGTTCAAGAATATTCAGTGTATTTATACAGTGCGCAGAGACAAATATATATTATTTATGAGAGGAAAAGAATACCCAGATATTTAGTGTTTATTGTCAAAACTCTCCATCATCATACTTACCTGGGGTTAATGATGTTTTTGATTGGTTATTAAGACTGTCTTACTGTCTTGCTGGTTTTCACTGTGTTGTGAATGTGATTGTTTTCCTTGCACTACACCTAGGAATAAGATTAATTGATGTTCTTAATTACATGCTACCATCACTGCTATCATCACTGCAGGAATTGGGTATGTGTAGTCTAGAGCAGGGGGGTCAAATTCAATGAGGGTCGCAACAGGGTTGTGCTTGACCTCGGGGTGTGTGGCCTGGGGGTGTGTGACCAGCTGGACATCACTCGTGTTGGGGGCGCCTGTGGTGGTTCAAGCGCTCCATTTTCAGCTGTGATGGCCTCCTGCAACCCTCTGCCAGTGAAAACGGAGTTCAACCAAGGGTTGCAGGAGGCTGTCGCAGCATAAAACAGAGCTCAGGAGCCCGTTTTCACTGGCAGAAGCACCGCAGGCCGGTCCTTCGCTATTTCCAGAGCAACCCCATAGGCCAGATCTAAGTACCCTGTGGGCTGGATCCGACCCCCGGGCCTTGAGTTTGACACCCCTGGGCTAGAGAAAAGAAGAAGTAGTGGTGACATGAGAGCAGTCTTCCAATATCTCAGGGGCTGCCCCAAAGAAGAGGGGCCCAACTTATTCTCCAAAGCACCTGTGGGCAGGACAAGAAGCAGCAGATGGAAACTCATCAAGGACAGGAGCAACTTGGAATTAAGAAGAAACTTCCTAATAGTGAGGAGAATTAACCAGTGGAACAGAAGTTGCCTTCAGAAGTTGCTTCTGTTTCATCCCTGGAGGTTTTAAAAAAAGACTGGGCAGACACTTGTCTGAAATGGTATTGGGTCTCCTGCTGTTGCAGGGGGCTGGACTAAAAGACCTCCAAGGTCCCTTCCAGCTCTATTATGGTTGATTGATTGATTGATTGATTGATTGATTGATTGCTCCATCCATCACTCTCCACTATCAGAATTTAGGGCTTCCCGTGACACAGCCTTCCTTGCTAGCCATCTAAGGCAGGGGTCTCAAACTCAAGGTCCATGGGCCAGATCCTGCCTGTGATTGTGGTTAGATCTGGTCAGTGGAGCTGCCCTGGAAACAGTGAAGGACCGTCCCCCAGTGCCTTGGCCCTGGCCCAGGCTGGCCAAGTGCTGATATAAAACTTGGTGACGGCCATCCGGACTGGAACGCGGTCAGCCTTAGATCCACGGGGCCTCCCTGGAGCCAGCAAGGGGCTGCTCCCACCCTACCCCCTGGGCTCGTGCTGGAGACAATGGATCCACCCACCTACCTGGTCCACCACAGGCGCACCCAAAGTGAGCAATGTCGAGCTGGCCACACTCACCCAGTTGGCTGTGACCATCTGGCCACACCCATCCCAGCCCCCCTGAGGTCAACCACAACCCTGATGCGGCTCTCAAAGAAATTGAGTTTGACACCCCTGTTCTGAGGTGATCCCCAGGGTGCCAGTGGAAGACTGACTGCTTCCTCTCCCCAACAGGATTACCACAAAATCATCAAGAACCCGATGGACATGGGCACCATCAAGAAGCGCCTGGAGCACAACTACTACTGGAGCGCCAGTGAATGCATGCAGGATTTCAACACCATGTTTACCAATTGTTACATTTACAACAAGGTAAAGGATCTAGTCTGCTCTTTTCTGGGGGAGGCTCATGGCATTTACAGGCTATGCTCAGAAGGTTGTTTGGCCACTACCAAGAGGGGGTGTTGGCTCTGAATTTCTCCCTCGGGCCCAAAACCTCTGAGGCCAAATGGCCTCTGTCCCCAAAAGTTAGCAATGAACGTGTGGACATTTGCATTTCAGTTTGGCTTTGGCCCTGTGTGTTACTTTCCATTTCCTTCTTTTCCCATGCCTTTTTCTCTGCCAGCCAACGGATGATATTGTCCTCATGGCACAAGCCTTGGAAAAGATCTTCCTGCAGAAAGTGGCCCAGATGCCTCAGGAGGAAGTGGAGCTGCTGCCCCCCGTGCCTAAAGGCAAAGCTCGGAAGATGGCAGCTGGGACCCCCAACTCAGGTCAGAGATAAAGGCTGTGCATGCAGGCCTGATTGCCATAACAATGGTGTTCGTGGAAAGGGACTAGGTGGCGAAGCAGAGAAACATTTCTGAGGATTTTATTTTATTTGTTTATTATTACATTTATTTGCTGTCTATCTCGTAGTTCAACACGGAGGACACGGCCCCTGAAGGCCAAGAGAGATTGTCAGATGATCTCACTTCTCCTGCCTTGGGATCTCGGCTGGTGCCAAACCTAGTCAAACCAAGGGGTGCACACACATACACACATACGTGCACACATACGATGTTGGCCAGGTCTCGGTAATGCATGCTACATTGGAATCTTGCTTGTCCCCTTCCCTTTAGACATGGTATAGCTTTGATTTAGCAGAAAAAATTGCAACTATACCCCAAGCTAGTAAGAAGTGGGTTGGATAGCACAGGGGTGAAATGGAGACATTCATGCATGGTTGCTCCTCAAACTGGAGAGGGCATTGAGAGGAGAGCATCAGATTTAGTCCGGAGGGCCAAGTCTGTCTCCCCACCCCCACCCCCACCCGCTCTATATTTTCATTATGGTTTGGATGGAGAGGTGAAAGGAAAGCCCATCTTTTACAGGCAATACAGAATTGGGCTACACAGCTTGCTTGCTTGCTTATTTGTTGATTTGTTTGTTTGTTTAATACCCTTGATGACAGAAATAAAATACAAACTAGTCTCGACCAGTTTGTTTCTGTAATTGATCCGAGTAACAAAATGAAATGTAACAGGGAATAGTGGAAAGTCCCTCACTTAAGAAACAAAAGTCAAATTCTCAGGGCCAGGATGGGAATAGTCTGTTAAAGGGAAACTGTCTTGGAGGACTGTTGGTTTTCCACCACAGCTCCAAGGCCTCATTCCTGGGTCTCTAAATGGCTCCATAATCTTTCTTATACTGTTTCCGAAGAGCTGCTGGGGGTGGGCGAGGACACGGCAAGGCGATGGCCGCAGCATTAGTGCAGGAGAGAAGCCGCATACTGCTAAGACCCTCCTTAAGCGAGCGGCCGCCCATCCCGCGCATGCCTTTGCTGCGCTTTGGGGGGAGAGAGGGGGAGATGAGTGGGGGAGAGAGATATAGAAAATAGTTTTGTGGTTGGGTAGGCGTGGCTAGGTGGTCATGTGACTGGGTGGGAGTGAGTGACATCGAGTTGGCCACGCCCACCCAGGTTTTGTGGCTCCCAGTGTTTTTTTTCTGTAGGAAACGGGTCCAAGTGGCTCTTTGAGTATTTAAGGTTGCCGACCCCTCGTCTAGGGTCTTTCCTCCGATGGCATTCAGTCAGAAGGTCCAGCAGCTTTTTTCTAGAATTCATTGCAGGCTCTTTTGCTGTGGCCATACAGCATAGTGTGACACGCCACTGTTGCATCACCAACCAATTCTTGTTTTTGTCTGCAGTCAGAGCAACTTCAATGCCAATTCATACTTCTAAGGTTCATTGTGACTCTTTCGTTCATGATTAAACCTTAATTTCACATGTGCACTTTCCCTACCTCCATAAGATCAACCATCTTCATTCACCTCTGTTATCCTTCCCTTCCCTTTCTCTTTGTTTGACAGGCACATAGCATAGCTAGTTTTCTCTGCCCCCCTCCCAATTAATGTTCTTTACTATTTTTTCATTTATGCTCCATACTTCATGTTTATCATAGTGGTGCAGTGGCCTAGAGGTGGAGCCCTCGCCTCTCAATCAGGAGGCTGTGAGTTCAATCCTAGGTAGCGGCAGATATTTATGTCTCTGGGCCCACTGAGTAAATATCTGCTGCGAACTCTGCATTGGCGATAGGAAGGGCATCCGGCCAATAAACACTCAGCCTCCATTCAGTTGCCCAGACTCCACCCCTACAGGATTGGGGAGCGGGGGAGAGAATTCCCATGCCATCAATTCCATAGCAAAGGAAAAGCCGGCCTTCCTCTTGACAGCCTTGCTTTCCTTCCGGCAGGGACCCAGCACCCAGCAGCCACAGCCGTCTCCTCCGCATCGCCTCCGGCGCCCTTCCAGAACGTCCCTCCGTCGGTATCTCAGACGCCTGTAATTGCCGTCACGCCTGTGCCAACCATCACTGCAAACGTCACCCCCATCACTGCCCCCCCTGTGACGCCCGTGCTGCCTCCCCCGCCTCCTGCCGCCCCAATCATGGCAGTCGTTCCCCCAACACCGCCCATCGTCAAGGTAATGGGGGCCTCCCTTCTCTGCGCAGGCGCTTCTCCTCCAGGGCAGGGGTGGGGCTGGGGCGCTGCCCCCGCTGCCCCTTCCTTGCAGAGGTTGGTCTGTTTCTGGTCTCAGGCCAGAGAGATGCTGCCATCTGTCTGGCCCCCCTAAGTTCCTCCTAACCCACCACCTTGGGGGCTCCTTCTCCACCTGCCCCCTCCTTATGGGCTGTGCTTGAATTTCAGAAAAAGGGGGTGAAGCGGAAAGCGGATACCACCACGCCCACCACGTCGGCCATCACCGCCAGCCGGAGCGAATCCCCCCCGCAGTTGTTGGACTCAAAGCAGGCCAAAGTGGTGGCTCGGCGGGAGAGTGGTGGCCGGCCCATCAAACCGCCAAAGAAGGACCTGGAAGATGGGGAGGTGCCCCAGCACGCGGGCAAGAAGGGCAAGCTCTCGGAGCACCTCAAGTACTGCGACAGCATCCTGAAGGAGATGCTGTCCAAGAAGCACGCAGCCTACGCCTGGCCCTTCTACAAGCCAGTGGATGCCGAAGCCCTGGAGCTGCACGACTACCACGACATCATCAAGCACCCCATGGACCTCAGCACCGTCAAAGTAGGTCGCCTTTGCCCCCTCTGGCTGCCCCTCCTTCCCCCTGCTTGACCCACAGGTGGAATCTGGCCCAACAGGGATTCCCCCTTCCTACCTGCGGTAGGTGGTGCTGCTGGAGCCTTGGTCCCTGTCCACAAGATTAGCTGGATACAGGTAGTCCTCAACTTATGATCACAGTTGGGACTGGAAACTCTGTCACTAAGTGAGACAGTCCTTAAGTATGTCCAATTTTACAACCTTTTTGCCTTGGCTGTTAAGCAAATGATTGTTAAGTAAATCCGCAACCATTACACAAGTCTGGTTTCCCCCACTGGCATTTCTGGTTGGAAGTCAGTCACATGATTCCAGGTTGCTTGCAACCATTGTAAGTACTTGTTAGGTGCCAACAGCCCAAATTGGGGCGCCGTGACTTCAGGGATTTTAGGATGGTTGGAGGTGCAAGGAGCTGGTGAGTCGCTTTTTTCAGTGCTGTCGTAACTTTGAAGAGTCATTAGACAAATGGTTACAGGGGGAGAACCTCCTGGCCTCCCCAGAGCTGCCTTCTCCCGGTCTATTCCTCTCCCGGAGCTGAGAACCTGCACAAGCGCTCCCCAATCCCATGCTTGTTCTAAACTCAGACAAACCAGGCAGCAGAACACCAAGTTCCCTCTTGGCCCCTCTGGGTTGAATGGGCCCTACCTTCCTTGGGGGGGAGGGGCAGCCCCAGAGAACTCCAGGGCCACAAGGACATGATCAGTAGGTAGGAGTGGCTGGGCAAAGGCCAAGAAGAGGGAAGGAAGCCCACTTTGACCTGCCAGGCCTGAGGCCAGTGCTGCCCTCAGTGGGGCTCCTCTCTGCCCCACCTTCCTCCAGGACGAGGGCCAGGAGGGCGTGGCGGTGGGGCTGCCCTGCCCTGGCAGCTTGGGGGGAAAAGCTCCAGTTGGGCCCAACTCACTCATATGGCAAAATGGAACAACAAAAAACAAGGTTGCATAAGTAAAGTGGAAAAGAATTTAAAGCAAGGGAGAGCACCAGCAGCAGCTCATAAGAGCCTGAATGGCCTGTCCAAGTTTTCAGACCCTTCCCAAAAGGCCAGTAAGATTGGGCCCACCCTCCTGTCTGGGAAACGACCTTCCAGAGGGTCTGTGCTGTGGCAGAGAAAGCTCTTCTCCGGGGTCCCGCCTGATGGAACACCTCTGGGGCTGATGGGATGGGGAGACGTAAGCCGCCCCTCAGATCACCTGGGGCTTTGGAGGTCATGCCCAGCATCCTGCATTGAATCTGGAAGCAAACTGGCAACCAACGTAGTTTGCGGAACAGAAGGGTAGCGTGTGCTGATCTCAGGGTGCACGTAAATGTCCTCACCGCCCCATTTTGCACCAGCTGTTTCCCGGATGCTTTTCAAGGGCAGCCCCACATACAGTAATCCCTCTGGAGGAACCAACCAGGGCGCAGGTAGCAGAGATGAGCCTTTCGTGGCTCTTGTCCCAAAGGACTTCCAAAGGCAACCCCATGTTACTTCCGCTCTTCTGCCCACAGGGAAGGCAGAACGTGCCCCCTCCCCTATGCCTTGCCCTTGAGGGGCTCAGCTGGCACCCACACGTCCACCCACAAGGAAGGTTGCCTTGGAAGCTCTGCGTGAAACGCCCAGGGGCCTGATCCATTGCCATTCTGAGCTTTGGGCTGGGGGTCTGGGATTGCCTTGGGAGGTGAGGCTGCTGAGTGGTGCCCTCCATGCCTTGACAGTTTGCTCCAGGCCTCTTTCAGGATGAGTCCTCTTCTCTCCAGAGGGAGACCTCCCCGGCTGAATTCTGTGCTCTATACGTCTCAGTACTTGAATGATTGTTCAGACTTTGCCCTGCCCCCCCTCCCCCCCGCCTTCCAGCTGCTCTGTCGGGGGCTTCTCAAGGGGCTTTAAGGATAGGAAGGTGGTCAGGTGACCAGCAGGGCTTCAGGGGCCTTTTCCTGCCCACTGCTTTCATTTGAAGCCAGTCCTGGAGCGGCCTAGGTCTTCTGTCTCTACTGGGGGTTTTCCCCTCCTCGCCCCTTCCCTTCTAATCCTGTCCCCTTTCTGGGCTCCTCTGCAGAAAAAAATGGACAGCCGGGAGTATCAGGACGCCCAGGGCTTCGCAGCGGACATCCGGCTAATGTTCTCCAATTGTTACAAGTACAACCCCCCTGACCACGAGGTGGTGGCCATGGCTAGGAAGCTGCAGGTAAGGGGGCTCCCTGCCAGGACGAGAAAAAAGAGCGTCCTCCCTCACCAGCAGTGGGTCTGTGGGGCCAATGAAGGGCTTGGGTGGTACAATTTGGTCAGTTCTGCCGCTGTTTGCAAGGAGGCCACCTCCTCCTTGGCTTTGAGTCTCCCTTTCTCTCCTGCTGCATGAGGGTTGCCCCCGAAATTCCCTGCTTGAGTCCAGACTCTGGGACTGGTGCCTCCAGGCCTCCCGGGGCCTCTCCCAGCTACGGCCGACTCTTGCTCCCTGCAGCCTCCATCCCAGAGGCTCACAACAAGGCTTGTTGCTATGTTGTACAACATCACAAAATATTCACAATGCCTGACAGGCAGTTCTCACAGCGGAGACTGACTGCTCTTTCCCTCCACCTTGGAGTAAATCATGACCGGGGCTGGTCTTAAGGGTGAAAAGTTTTAACCGCTTCCTCTTTCATGGCCATTTGCTTGAGGAAAGCATCCCTGGAGTTGATGCCTCATCTTGGACCTCCCCCTCCAGCCCCTCAGGAGTTTCTGTCAGGCTCTCCTGAACCTGAGCGTGTTACCCATAAAATGTGTGGATTCTGCCGGTTCAAATCTCCAAAAAGTTCCCCTCAAAAAATGAGATCTGTAAATAGCATATGTGTTTTATGCAGAGTTGGATATTCGTGTACGGTGGTACACATTTGCATGTAGATTGCTTATAATTTATGCTGCTATATTTGTTCCGCTTGTCCATTCGGTCAGAGCTGCCTTTGCTGTTCAAGGGAGTGACCTTTAATCCGGGCAGGCTGTCTTCCTCAGCCCTCTGCCTCCTTCACGACCTTGGAGTCAAGGGAAGGGGGCCACTTGGCTGGCTGCCCTCCGTTTTCCCATTGCAGAAGGCAGGACATTCCTTCCCCTTGATAGGTGAAGGACACCTGCCTTTTCTAGAGAGGGCCATAGGAGGCCTCGGGCAGCTGGCCCAAACTTGGCACCTGCCCCAGGTGGATTGGGGCTGCATCTCCCGGGGGCTCTCTCACTTCCAAGGCTAGATGGCAGTTCTAATGGGGGGTCACAGCATTTGAAGAGCCCCGAGCTGCCCTTTGGCGTCCTTCTCCAGTCAGCTCTGTGGAAAAGCAGTGGGGCGGGGGTGGGGGTGCCTCTTTTGGGGCAGCTGCCTGCTGTGAGGGCACCTTTGCCCTCCTCTCCAAACCCGCCTGTTCCCACAGGACGTCTTTGAGATGCGATTTGCCAAGATGCCGGACGAGCCCGCCGACCCCCCACCTCCCCCTCTGCCCACCGCCCCCGTGGTCAGCAAAAGCACGGAGAGCAGCCACAGCAGCGAGGGGAGCTCCTCGGACTCGGATAGCTCGGACTCGGAAGAGGAGCGGGCCACGCGGCTGGCAGAGCTGCAGGAGCAGGTGGGTGGCAGCCAGCCTTCGGAGCGGTTCAGGGCTTGGCCGCTCGCGAAGGGCCACGTCTGGTCCCTGAGGCCGCTGGCCGTGCGGGAAGCCTCGACGGGGGCCTTGCAGAGATGCTCATTCTGGCCCACTGAAGGTCCTCTTGACTGGTCAGAAAGACCCACTTTCTTTATAAACCACCTGGTCGCTAAGAAGGACGTTGAGACAGTCGGAAAAGGCAGGGCCAAAAATTTGAAGATAGGCAAATGAGGCCACAGCACCCCCCAGAGGTCTGCCGGGTGCCTTGGGGGTTGTGCAAAATAACTCCTATGCCTGCTCTGTGACCGGTAGTAGAAAAGGAACCACCCTCCTTTTTCATACGTCGGTCGCAGCAGTGAGGACTAGAAACTTGGCACTTGAAACCAAAGACCCAAAGTGTCCCAGGCTTCCCCAAGAACCAGACTGTGGTTCTGTGGATATCCCTCCCCTCCCCCCCGACTCCGGGTGCGGTGTGGACACCCGATTTGCTTCCCTGCCTGTCTTCTTGTTCACACAGGACTGTTCCCGATCATTGAGGCAGTGCTACAAGGTCATTGACTCCCGAGACTGGAATGGATGGAATGTATTTGTTTATTTTTTTTCCCCCTTTTTTCCCCCTTTTATAAAGTACTTTCCCCTTTTCTGTATTGTGTGCAGATACGTAAAGTTCATAAGGCCTTTTCAGAAATGCTTCATCCCAGCAGTCAGTCAGTGCCTTGAGGCCCAGGAGAGCTCGGTGGGGAGATGGAAGGCAGGTGGAGGGCAGCTCCATGCCTGAACTTGGGGGGGAGCCTCTTCTCTTCCTGCTCTGCCAGCTGCTCCTTGTAGAATCGCACCTGGATCCCCTGTAGGGCGGGGGGGGGGCAGCTGTGCTGTGAATCGGAAGCGCCCCCATGGGATGGGCCAGGTGTGGGCTCTGTAAAAGGTGGCAGACTGGGAAAGCCTCTCATGGGCAGAGAAGCAAGTGGGCTGCTCCAGGCAGGTGGGGCTGGTCTTGCCCCGCAGGAGAGAGCTCCTTCGAGCGAACAATCGCAGGGCCTTCTGGGAAGAGCTCACGATGGCAAACCCTCCCCAGTTGCAGCCTTCCTCCGGGTGGTGGTAGCTGGGATTGGCCCTGCCAGTCCCATCACCCCTCGTGGGTGAATGCTGTTTTTGCCCCTTAAGGTTGCACCAGATTTTCTGAGAATTTGCTTTAGATTTCAGTGAACAAGTGTCTAGTCCTCATGAATATGGGGAATAAACTTAGTGATGTTTCTCTCCTCGGTGCCTCAGAATTGCCTTGTCTTTGTCTGAACATATGCACAGGGGTGTCAAACTCGGTTTCATTGAGGGCTGCATCAGGGTTGTGTTCGACCTTGGGGGGCTGGAGTGGGCGTGGTCAGCCCAACATCACTTGTGTCAGGGGCACCTGTGGTGGCCAAGTGCTGAGGCAGGACTTCCCTCAGACCCTCCCTCAGTCTCGTTATAACCCTTCCTTCCTTCCTTCCTTCCTTCCTTCCTTCCTTCCTTCCTTCCTTCCTTCCTTCCTTCTCCTCTTTCTTTCTTTGTCCTTCCTTCTCTCTTCCCATCTTTTTCTTTGTCTTCCCTCTTTCCCTTCCTCCTTTCCTGTCCCTTCTTGCATGCTCAAATACAAAAGAGGAAACATTTCTCCTTTTGTTTTGTTTTCAGTTTGTTTTGATAGCCCTCTGTGCAGCCCCCATCCCACCCCCTGGCCCTGTTTTTGGCTGCGACTGCCTTTTGCAGCCCTCTGCCAGAGAAAAGGAACTGGGGGGGGGTGGTGCCGCACACAGCCCCCCCCCCCCCAAGCTACGTTTTTGCTGTCAGAGGGCTGCAGGAGGCTCTCACCGTCAAAAACGGGGCCAGGGAGGGCCATGTGCGGCCCCCCAAGATCTTCTTTTCACTGGCAGAGGCATCACAGGCCCATCCTTTGCTGTTTCCAGGTGGCCCCGAGGGCCAGATCTAAGCACGGCCCGTGGGCCTTGAGTTTGATATGCAGTATATACCCCTGGTAGCAGCACCTGTTTTATTTTTCAATTTCTGTTCCATCCAGACTTTAGAATTGGGCTGAATTCAAAGCAAAGCAAAGCAAAGGAATAGACTCTAGAAGGGACGGTGCCTGCCAATTTTGTGGCTGGATTTTTATTGGGAGTTTGAGGCGGGGAGTGCTGAAGAGCTCTTGCTGGGGGACCCTGGGGGGAAAGGGAACCAGAAGGGCAGAAGCCCCAAGAGGGCCGGTTCTCCTGGGGGTTTGCAAGTATCGTGGCATCTGCCCGTAGCCCGGTCAGGTAGACCAAAGCTGCCGGTGAGTATCGCTGCTGAATGAGGATTTGAACCTGGGTCCTTTTAATCACAGATGCCTTGGCTGTGGCCATCTCCGGTTCCACTAGCCTGATGCCCCTTTATGGCTCTGAAAGTGCACAGGAGCCAAGAGAGGAGAAGATCCTCTGCCCCAGACGGTGGGATCGGTGGGCCTGCACACTCTTGAAAGGCCAGATCCATCGCCCCAGGAGGGGGCCTCTCCCTCCCTGTGACCCCTGCCTTCCCCCTTCCTCTCTGGGTAGGAGGAGGAGGAGGAGGCTCGTCTCTCCCGCCTGGCCTTCTGCTTCTTGCCAGCTGTGAAGTGGGCATCTCCTGGGGAGGCACCTCCCTCTGCCAGGGGTGGGAGGGGCCTGCCTCTGTGTGCTGCAGGCGTCCTGGGCCGGCCATGGCCGGAGGATCCTTTTTCAGCTAGATTGGATTCTAATTCGCTTAAATTTATTTCGTTATGATTTGATTTGTATGGCCGCCCATCTCATCTAAGTGACTCTGGGCGTCTCGTGATAGTTAAAAAACAGCAAATCAAGTCAAAAACAATGTACAAACTATCAATAACCACTTGAAAATAAATGAAAGGAAGCAAGCTTTTCCCATGGCCCAGCCTGCCTCTTGGCTCACATCCTGTGTGGTTAGTCCAAGTCAGGTTAAAAAATGCGCCATTGTAGCGTTCACCTCCCATGCAATGCTCCAGCAAGTAAGCCACGCTGTGGCCCAGCGGGAAAGCCTTATTCATGCAGCAGGTTAAGGGAGCGGCTTGTGCCAGGCCCTGGCAGCCTGGTCTGGGGATGGGGTGAGGCACCGGGCCTGGCAGCCTAGAGAGCTGGGAGCTGCTGGCCCCATGAACATTTCACGGCACTGAGCTGGCTGGCCTGCCGAAGACCAAGGGCAGTGTGTGTGTGGGGGGGGGGGGGGGGAATGGGAACAGCTGCTGCCCTCCCCATCCTCTTGCCAAGCGCCAGACTTTGCTGGGGTTGAGTGGGTCCGAGGGCTGAGCTTCTCTCCTTCGCTTCTCTCTCAGCTAAAGGCCGTCCACGAGCAGCTGGCTGCCCTCTCACAAGCACCGGTGAACAAGCCAAAGAAGAAGAAGGAGAAGAAAGAAAAAGAGAAGAAAAAGAAGGAGAAAGAGAAGGAGAAAGAGAAGCACAAGGCAAAAGCCGAGGAGGAGAAGAAAGCCAAGGTGGTCCCGCCAACAAAAGCCCCCCAGCAGAAGAAAGCCCCTGCCAAGAAGGCCAACAGCACGGTTCCCGTTAACAGGTAGGGGCTCCAGGACGGGGATGAAGTTGGTTGGGGCAAGGCTCGAGTGGTAGGTGGGCAAGGGAGGAGGACCCACCCAAAGAAGTTACACAGCTGGCCAACACAAAGCGGAAAGGGACATTGGAAAAGGGGTGCCAGAAGGACAGTAGCATTTCTGGCAAGGCTGCCCAGGGGCCAGCAGGGTGAAGAAGGCGAGAGGGGCCCATGGGAGCAGGGTACCTCTCTCTGGACCCCCGGCAGTGGGCTCCCTGCTGAGAGTCTGCCCACCCTCTCAGGCCGCCGGGGAGGCTCCAAAGGAGCCTTGCCCGGTGAGCTCGGAGCTGCAGGTCCTGACCGCTCCCCTTCCGCCCACAGGCAGCCGAAGAAGGCCGGGAAGCAGGCCTCGGCGACCTACGACTCAGAGGAGGAGGAAGAGGGCCTCCCCATGACCTACGATGAGAAGCGCCAGCTCAGCCTGGACATCAACCGACTGCCAGGGGAGAAGCTGGGCCGGGTGGTGCACATCATCCAGTCGCGAGAGCCCTCCCTCAGGGACTCCAATCCCGACGAGATCGAGATCGATTTTGAAACCTTGAAGCCCACCACGTTGCGAGAACTTGAGAGATACGTCAAGTCTTGCTTGCAGAAAAAGCAGCGGAAGCCATTTTGTAAGTGGGATCCCTTGCGCCGTAGAACCGGTGGGGCTCTTAAGGCTGGAGCGCCAGAGAAGAAGCTCCCGGGGGTTAAGGAAAGGAATGAAATGCAGGTTTATGCGGCAATTTCGGTTGGACGAGGGGGAAAATCAAAACAGCCCCCCCCCCCTTTATAGTTTTCCTAGCCATGAAACAGTTCATCTATTTATGAGTTATGAGGGCCGATCTGTCCATCGGCAGAGAGCTTGGACAGCATCAGTGTTGGTGTGGAAGGGATGCCAGCAAAAGGAAAAACGAGCCAGGGGAAAATTATAGCCATGAACTCCACTGCCCAGGCTCCTAATTTTGGGGGTGGGGGGGGGCTGCAGGAGCTTGAAGAGTCCATTCTGAACTCTTCCCCCACCTCCAACTCACCCGTATACACCCCCAGTCTGCTTGGGGCTGTGAAAACCCATCTGCTCTTGAGAACAGGCTGCTCTCTCTGCTCTTGTCCTCTCAGCTGGTCTCGGCATTCAGACGGCCCTTCTGTCTCAGCAACCAGCCTCAGGCACCCAAACCTTTGGAACCTTCCCAGGGTTTCCTATCTGCTGAGGGGGCTTTGGACCCTTTCCCGGCCCAGGTGGGGGAGTGCTCTGTGAGGGCAGATGGCGCTGGGGGAGGGTGGGAGGTGATTTACTTTTAACTGCCATTTCCCTCTTGCCTGTTGCGCCTCTTCGGCGGAGAGCACGTGTGCTTTGCTGCCGCCTGGCTGATGGGAAGAGTCTTGAGAAGAAGGCAAAGGCAGCCCTCCGGTCACCGGCTGGAAGGGGAAATCTTCCTGATTTCAGCTGCCCTAGAGACTCGCCGTTCTGATTTCCTTTCTGTGTTGCGTGTCCTTCTAGCCTTCTCAGGTAGACCATGAGCAGCTGAGCTGATTCTGCTTTATTGTAAGGCTGCATTAACAGAGCAGCCTTGAAAGTCTGAAAGTGCAAGTTACCTGCTGTCTCCGTTTACGTCCTGATAATTTAGGGAGGGTCCTTTCTAAACTTCATTCTCTGACCACAGGGCTCCCCCTCCTTCTCTGATTGTTTCCTAGGCACCAACTCCCCCCCAGGTCATTCCCTCATACCATGATAGTCAGGTTGCTGCTTCTGCCATGATTAAATTACAGATAAACGCCAATTTACTAGATGCAACTGAGCCTTAATCTTTTTCTGAAGGTCGTCCTTAAGAAGACTATGAAAGCTCCAGCTTGGGCCTGGGGGAATTCAGCAGGAGTCCTTAAAGAAATATTCCTTGTGGCGGAACCGTAGAGATTTGGCAGGACGTTTGAGAGCCTGAAAGGTTAGCCGCAGGAGAGTGAAGAGAACCATGGTTCTTTGTGTCCATGGCCTGCAGTGCTTGTGGGCTGGTGGTGTCCCTGTTTTTGCAGCAAGGGCCTTGCTTGGGAGAGAGGCCGAGGAGCCCAGAGGATCCTAATTGGGAACTGGCCTGAGAAGAAAGTGTAAAGATTTCAGATTTAAAGGAGGAAAGTGCTATAGCGGGAACTTCAGACGTCTTTCCCATCCCCCCACCCCCAATGGATTATAGACTGCCAGCAGGAGGACGGCTGCATCTGCCAAGGACTAAACTATGCCTGTTGGAATGGGGGATGAAGACACTAATGTGAGAAACTCCGAGGAGGCAGAAGATGGATGGGTTGGTAGGACCAGGTTTTTGAAGCCCCTCTGTGAAAGCTCAGGAAGTGCAGGGGCTTCCTGAGAGATCCCCACTTGCATATTGGTTCAGAAGGGGAGGCACTGAGGAGACCAGGCCCATCTCAACCCCTTCGGGCCTGTCCCCATGCCTTCATCCACCTCACCTCACAGGTTGTTGCGGAGGGAGCATTCTGGGCCCTGCCTTCAGCCCCAGAAGGTGGGATAGAAATCTAGAAAGGAGCAAATGAACTCAAATAGTCCTCGATTTATGACTGCAATTGAGCCCAGCATTTCTGTTGCTAAGGAAGACAATTGTTGAGTTTTGCCCCATTTTATGACCTTTTTTGCCACAGTTGTTAAACAATTGACTGCAATCATTAAGCAAATCTGGCTCCCCCATTGATGTGTTTGTCAGAAGGTTGCAAAAGGAGATCACATGACCCTGAGACAATGCGGCCGTCATAAATATGAGTCCAAGTGTCTGAATTTTGATCACGTGACTGTGGGGATGCTGCAACGGTCATAAGCGTGAAAAGCAGTCACAAGACTAAACCATATGAAGGAACGGTTGCAGGATTTGGCCAGTCTAGAGAAATGAAGAATTAGGGGTGACATGATAGCAGTGTTCCTGTATTTGAGGGGCTGCCACAAAGAAGAGGGGGGTCAACCTATTCTCCAAAGCACCAGAAGCCATGGATGGAAGCTCATCGAAGAGAGAAGCAACCTGGATTTAAGGAGAAATTTCCTGACAGTGAGGCCAATTAGCCAGTGGAACAGCTTGCCTCTAGAAGCTGTAGGTGCTTCATCACTGGAGGCTTTAAGAAGAGGCTGGACAGTCTCTGGAGGCTGGCATAGGTTCTCCTGCTTGAGCAGGGGGCTGGACCAAAATACCTCCAAGGCCCCTTCCAGCTCTATTCTATGATTCTATGATTGTAACTTTGAACAGTCACTAGAACAAATGGTTGTAATTTGAGGACTCCCTATAAAGATGAGACGGTGGAAAGTGAGCCTGAATTCATAGTATCGGAAGGGAAACATCATTGCTCAACAGGGACCTGTTGGGATGAGCAGAGTAAATGATACTCAACATAAATAATAAAGGACTCGTAATTCGGCAGTAGCAGCTGAAGATACCTTTGCTTGATAGGAGCAGGAGAGAAAGAGTCCCACTGGGTGAGCAAAATAGGCCCCCCTCAGAAATCCAGCCTGGGCAAGCTGTTGAAACTATTTGGATTAAAGTAAACAGGAGCAGACAAAAGCCAGATGCCTACCCTGCCTATCCAATTAAGGTGGCCTTGGAAGGTCCTGCTAAAGTCCATCCACGGAAGACGGGCTGCATCTATTTCTCCATCATCCTGAATTAACAGGGTGCTTCACAGTTTCCTATAATCACATCAACCAATCCTGAGGCTGGCATCACCCTCTTGCACCTGGTTGCGGCAGACGTAGAAGGCTACCGACACATCCATCTGCTAGGCATCTATCTACTTGCTCTGACATCCCCTAAATTCCACTGAAGATGTTTACCTACCCTGGTAATGAAACATTCGGGTCTGGACCCACAAACGAACCTCCACTCTCATCTGCTTGCTCTCTAAGGACAGACAGGAGTTCCCAGGAGTTCATTTCCACTGCTGGTGGGGCTTGGACAGCATTCTGGGTCTCCAAATGCAGTCATCAAGATCTCAATGTCCGCTTAGATTTGCCCCAAATCCAGTGACTGCTAGCTTCCTTAAATTCAAGGGAGAGGACCTTCCTGTGGCCATTCACCCACCCACCCATCCCTCATGTTGGCCTTTCTGAGATTTAACTACCTGGGTGGCCAGTTCCGAAAGCTGCTCCCCTCTTTGACCTGCTGTTGAGCTAGAGTGCTCAGGGGTATCCCGAGGGTCCCGTGGTAGAAAGGTGGAGCTGAGCCATGGTTCCCTGAACCAGGGCTTGAAATGGTCCTTCAAAGGTTGGGTGTCCAGATGAGAGCGTCTGGAAGTCCTCTCCTGCAATCCTAGCCCTGCCAGTGCCAGCGCCTGGAGCCAAGGGGGTGCGTGGCTTAAGGGTGCTGGACACTCAAAAGAATGCCAACATGGCATAGATGTCCTGGAGTGGTCAGACAAGCACTCGCTGTTCTTTCCTCTCTCAACACACCCCACTCAGCCACACCAGGGCCCTCTTGGGAAGTGGAGGCTCAGCTGGACTGAGACGTCAGACTTTCAAGATAGGACCCGGGGCCTCGGCCTATCTTCTCCTCACCCCAGGAGATGGTTTCAGCCACAGCAAAGTGACGGCAGGGCCTGCTTGGTCTCCTCTTGGACGAGGCACGAGTTCAGAAGTTTGGGGCAAGGTCCAGAGGAAGAGTGTGCCAGGGCACTCAAAAGGAGAGACAAGAGGGAAGCAGAGCGCTGGACATCTGCACACAGGCGTCCATACCTAAGGCTGAAATGACCACAAGCATTCCTGGTCAGTTATCAGCAAATCAGTTAGTAACCGTGAAGGAGACCCCCGGTGCTGTTGACTTCCTCTCTGCTAAGCGTGTGGAGGAAGTTTTAAAGTGTGTACGACAATCAACAGGAATATTGGTTGTCATACATACTTTATTTCCTTTACACATCACTGTTCTGTTATCATGCTCGGCAACCAACTGTCAACTCTGGGTTTGTCCAACATACTCTGTAATTCAACCCATGGTGTTTTGGCATTCCCTTTCTCTACATCCACGAACCCTGTGTGCATGGAGGCTGGGGGGCAAGGAAGGCGGGCGGTTGGAGAAGGAGAGAGGAGGGAGCAGCTGCCATATCGGATGTTAGGAAAATTTCTTTCCAGGAGGGGCCAATCATGAGGGAAGGGGGGCTTCCCTTTTTTACTGGCTGGGTTCCGGGTGTGTTTGTGTGTGTCTCAAATTTGTATTCCTTCTTGGAGGGGGTGTCCTGCAGGCCTCTGCCCCTCCCATTAGCTCCTGTGGAAGGAGAGTGGATCTGGTTCCAACCCTTCCTGATTTCCTTCTGGCTGCTCAGGCTGGGCCCCTGAAAGGCCCCCGGAAGGCCTGCCCATCCTCTCCACTGCGGAGCCTAAAGGAGCTTCTACAGCTCGGTGAACCCCACCTTGCCCTGCTCAATACAATCCTGGGCCCCAGAGCTGGGCCCCCGCCCTTTATGGTATTGTTCCCCCACTCACGAGCCCGCCTGTCTCCCTCGTGGCCCTGACCTGGTCACAGGGAGCAGCTCCCCAGCCCTGGCCGATTGGACCACTGTCCAGAATCATCCTCAGTCCAACGCCTGCAAGGGGTGAGCCTTTCATTTGATGCAGCCCAACGGGCCATACTGGTTCTTGCCTCCTGAGAAGTTGGGATCCCGACTCTTCTCCCCCCCCCCCATCTGAGCCCTTCCGCTTTTCTGCCCACAGCCGCAAGTGGGAAGAAGCAGGCAGCCAAGTCCAAGGAGGAGATGGCTCAGGAAAAGAAGAAAGAGCTGGAGAAGCGCCTGCAGGACGTGAGTGGGCAGCTGAGCAACAACAAGAAGCCGGCCAGGAAAGGTGAGCAGAGGCTGCCTCCCTCCTTCACCTCTGCCCCAGCACCAGGGGAGGCGAGGCTGCGGCCCCCAGGCCCCTTCCCAGGAGGGCCCGTACTGGGCACTGTGGAGCACGGCTTTCCTGCTGGCTTCCACGAGAGGCAGAAGGGCCCCAGGCAGCTTGTTTCCTGCTGCTAGAGGTTTTCTTCATGAACCAGTGTTTTATTCATTTGTTAGGCTTTCATTCCACCCATCCCTGGACCCAGCAGTGCCCACCAAGCCCAGAGTTCCTTGGCTCGACCTGCCTGCCTCAGGGGGTCTCTAAAGAGGGCAAAGCAGCCCTCCCGTGGCCAGCCCCGCTAGGCAATCTTGGCTGCCTGGCGGTGCCCAAAAGAGCCGCGTAGCCTGGGAGTTGGCACCAGAAGCGCCAGGATGCTTCCCTTGGCATGGGGGCAGAGAGGTCAAAGAGGACCGCAAGCAGGCCAGTGTTGAGGGCAGCAGAGGCACCCAGCCCTTCCATCTACCTACCTTTCACAGTCGAGGTGGGGTTGGGGAGACAGAGGGTCCCACCTGAGGGGTCCCCAGGGAGCGGCTCGGGGCCAGCAGGGCGGGGGCAAAGACGCAAGGATCATCAGCCAGGGGTTGTGTCCTTCTGACATTCTGAACGGATGTTTTGGGGCAGAATCCGGTCCCTCTCCTCCTCCTCCTCCAGTCGGAAATATTTGGTCGCCTTCCTTCCTGTGGCTGCCGCCCCCACGGTCCATCTCCCAATTCCCTCTCAACCTTGCATCCCCGTCTCCTCCACCGTCTTCCCCGGCTCTCACATGGCAGCCGCATCCTGGTTGTTCCGCTCGGCCTCTCAGTGGACCTACAAGCTACACTGCGGAGACACCCCCCCCCCCCATCCTAGCACATTGTGTTAGCCATTGGGCAGGACTGGTTTCACCTGCCATTTGGGTGTAACTGATTCATCTGTCGGTGGAGGGGGGTGGAGGAAAACTTGAGTTTCAAAAATGTTTTAAATCATCAAGTTGCCTCAAAATTGGGCTCATGACTTGCAACTGCAGCTCCTGAGTTTCCCAACCCTGGGATCTCTTAGTGGTCTCCCATCTGAGTACTGAGCCAGCCTTTTCAATTATCAACCAGAACCCCCCTCCCATCCCCCAAGGCCCGATTCCCAGGCTGCTTTCTGCAGGGGCTTTGAGCTGAAGCAGGGAAGACCCCCGCCCTAGGGGCGTTTGCTGCCCAAAGGAAGACAGAGGGACGGATGTCTCAGGGTCCAGTCTGTCAGGCCGGAGACCCAGGAGGGGAGGGGATGGCAGGGCAGGAAGGCTGGAGAGGGAGCTGCCCCGCCAAAGCTGGGGGCAAGCAGCCGAGGCTCAGCTGACCACTTGCCTCTGCTCCTTTTCTTGCTAGAAAAATCAGGCTCCTCAGCACCGTCCGGCGGTCCGTCTCACCTGAGCAGCAGCAGCAGCTCCGAGTCGGGGAGCACCAGCTCCAGTGGCTCCAGTTCCGACAGCAGCGACTCAGAATGACCAGGGGGGACTCTTGGCCTGCCCGGACTGGAATCTCTGTCCCCTCGCTTTATTTTTCTAACGGTTCCTCTCTTCCATCATGACCAAGTTTCCACTCTTTTGCAGCCGTTTTGAAGGACTCAGTGTTACAGAAACGATCCCTTCTCAGAAGAGTTTCCTTCTGCTTTTATTAGGTCAAACGCCTGACTAGACTTGGTGGCAAAATTATTTGCATCACTTGAAGTCTCTAACCCTTTTTTTAACCCAAGATGCTGAAATACTGAAGGAGAACTCAACAGAGACTCTACTGCCCCCTCCCGCTGTGGCTGAAGCCCAGATGGAGAGTGACTCTGCCCTTCCTGAGGGGCTCCTTTGGCCAGGCCAGGGGGCCTCTCCTCTCTGAAGGCGACCGGGGAGGGAGTGGGGGCAACCTTGGTGAATGGTACTGCAATGGGAGGAGGCCAGAGCTCCAAGGCTGGCCGGCCGGCGTGAATCTTCTAATCATCTGCTGGTCTGCCGACCACCCCCCCCAAGCCTGGCAGCAGCCCCCCCTTCTCCATTGAGATGAAGATCCTAATCTTTTTTTATAGATAAGAGGGAAAAAGCTCATGTACTGTGGATTGTTTTTTAAAGCGTACCTTTTTAGATATTTCTTTTACCTTTTTTTAATCAATATATAGATTCATGCTCTGGTTGCAAAAACTTCTTCAGAGGTGGCTGCCCTGTTGAGGGTGCTGGGTGCGACCTGGGCCCAGCAAGGGGTTGCCCAGCCACCCTTGGCAAGGCCTCGTGCAGGATGGCATCGCCCATCACCCCTTGGGGGGTAGGAAGGCCTGGCTCCTTGGCCTTTGGGCAGAGGGAGCCTGTTAAGCATTGCTCGGGGTCTCCCAGCAGCCAGTGGGACCTGGGCTTCCATTCTGATCCTGGCATTGGGCAGCTTCTGTGAGAGCGAAGGGGCTGCCAGATCCATGGCAAGGCGACCCCAGACAGCAGGCAGCCCTGAGGCGGTGCCCCGGCTGAACTACAGTCCAGGCTTCCCCCTTGCCAGGAGAACATGTGTGTCGTGTGAGTGCAGGTTTCCAAATAATCAAAACTTTTACCTCAAGGTATGGTGGGAGAATATGCTTTGGGGAAGGGGAGGGTGGGCAAGCGATTTTTTTGTAAGGTTCATCCATTTTTTAGAAGCTTTTTTTTTTTTCTCCAGCCTGCCCTGGAGACCTGCACTTTGCCCACGACGCACCCGGAATTGAGTTATCCTTTTTTCATGTACATAGAAATACTTTATTTATTAACTCCAGTGGTCACTTAAAAAATGTATCCTGCGTTTTGAAGAGCAGCAGACAAAATGTAGGTTTGTGTTGTTTTTAAAACTAAGCTCTGAAAAAGAAATTTGGGAATCCTTTTAATTTAAATGTATTTTGACTTTTTAACCAACAGGTGCTATGGACCTTTGATAGTTTCCTGTTCTGGTGCTTATTCCTTGTACGTGGATTCAGTTTGGGGGAATGGGATTGTTTGGGATTCTTTGGGTTTCTTTTTGTATAGACTTTGGACTTACAGGTATTGGTAACTTCCAGATAAAGCATGTTTTATTTGTATATTCCTAGTCTTCTCCCATGTCCGTCTTTTTCTCTGTATCTTGTTTTAAAGTAGAACAGTTTGGAAAAAAATAAAGCAACAAAGACCCATTTAAGAGCAGATGCCACTTCTGTACTTGACACCATAACAGGCCTGGGAGCAGAAGTGTGTGCCGAGTTATTCTTTATTGACTGATGCAATTTAAAAGGAAACAAACTGAACATTGTCCGGTGCACCTTTAAAATTTGTTTCTTCTGGGTCCTCACTGGCATCACATTTGGGGCATCAGAATGAATGTGAAAGGGCCAGACTGACCACTGTTCACCCAAGGTAAAATACGCACGAAGAACAGCTGCTCAGGTTGGCCAAAGAAAGCTGCTTCCCAGAACTGGAGGGATTCAAACTTGGTTCTCCCATCAGATGCGCAGAGCTGTAGAGTTCAGAGGCCGTTTCCCCGAGCATCATAACTCTCTGCGCCAGGGTCAAGGATGCATCCGGGAAGCCCAGTACATGGAAATGGCCCTCAAAGGGGCTCATGGACAGCCCAGCCAACCACGTTACCTGGAACAGAGTTTGGCCTCCTGGTGCCACTTTTTTTTTTTTTAAATTTGATTTATATGCCGCCCTTCTCCGGAGACTCAGGGCGGCTTACAATGCGTTAAGCTTGCCTTCATTCTTGGGATAGACAGCTCCAGGTCAAGTGTCTCCTTTTCTCTGCAAGCCTCTCCCAGCTGGTTGATACAAGCACAGCAGGTGGCTAAGCCCAGCTGGCTTCTTTGTCCCGTGCCTGCGAAGGCCTGAGCTAGGCAAAAGTCTGCTAGAGATTTGGACCAGCAGCAATCCAGGGCTTGGACAACGCAGCAAGTTACGGCCAAAGCCAAGAATGTGGAGATGTTGCTACTTGGAGGAATCCTGGCAGGCCTTGGGGTGAACAGGCCCCCAACCTCCTGCCAGATTTCAGCAAGTGGGTTCTGCCCATACCCTCCAATTGTCCACCCCCCCAGCAGAGAAGCCAGCCCAGCCTTCAAGAAGCACAAGGGGGAGGGGGCCACAGTGCAACACCCACACCAGCAGCCAAGAGGGCAGGCTTCCCTCAGAGCCTGCGGGAGTCAACGCCATGCTGGACCCCAGAAAGAAGCTGGGGGAGGCGGCCCTGGAGTACCTCCAACCAGTGAAGGAAGCCGGAGGAGGCATGGAATCTGAATGTCCCCCAAGAAGAACCCCCCCCCCAACTTGCCCTGGGATCAAAACAAACTTCAGGCCATGGCTTTGTAGTCGAGGACTGGGTCCAGTGGTCCAAGAGGAAACTCCTGTGTGAGTTCAGCCTTCCCCAACTCTGAGCTCGCAGGAAGGGGGGCTAAATTTCCATCTCTGCCTCACCCAATCTGGGTGGATTACAATTCCCATCAGTCTCAGCCAGCACATTAGGGATATAGGAAAGGGCCTCTAGGGAATGGGGAAGGGTGGTCTCTTCCTGCCTGTGCCCCAGCCTCCTTTTCTCCCCCCTCCCGCCCAATTTTCTGGAAAGCTCTTCGCTTGGCAACTAGGGGAGGAACCTGAGCCCCCGCCCCACTGGGCTCCCCTCCTTCCTTCCAGCAGCCGGCCTGCCCTCAGGTCACCCAAGCCTTGGTCCATCGGGAGAGCAGACCCCGCCCCCTCTAAAGACTGCAAGAGGCAGGTCAGGAGGAACTGCCGGCCACTTGAAGCAGGGGCCAAAGGCATGAAGAGTCTTCCAGACGACTGCCTGCCAGGGGCTTCCTTGGGGCCAGGGACGGGACCTTTCCCGCCTGAGCGCTAAGCCGAGGCTGCAGGGGCCGCGTTCCGGGCAGGCGGCTCAGTCACATGAGGGCGCAGAAGCGGGACTGGCCGGTGTCGCGGGCGCCCTCCAGCTTGCTCCGGTCCCGCACCAGGATGGCCTGGTTGCCGTACTGCGCGTACCAGGCGCTGCGGCTGCGGCTCAGGTAGGTGGCGGGCGGGCGGGTCTCCAGCTGCCGCTGCTGCTGCTGCCAGATGAGCAGCGAGGCGTCCCGGTAGCGCAGGCGGCCGTAAGCCTCGGACAGCGCCTTCTCGGCCAGCGGCGGCCGCGCCGACATCGCCCTCGGCTCCCCTGGGCGCCGGGCCCGCCTGGAAGGAAGGAAGGAAGGAAGGAAGGAAGGAAGGAAGGAAGGAAGGAAGGGGGAAGAGGGGAGCCGGTGGCGGAGCGTCCCGGAGCGCAGACCCGCAGCGCCTCCCCCTGCGGCCCAGCGAGCATCGGGCAGCTCTCCTCCCCCGGACCCGCCCGCCCGCCCGCCCTACCTGGGCTCCGGCAAGCTGCGGCCGGCGGGCGATCGGCGCGGCTCCCGGAGAGGCTCTCCACGCCGGCCGCCGGGGCTGCCCCCCGCCCTCCTCCGGCGTCGGCGCGTCTCCTCGCTACGCGGGGCGGAGAGGGCCGTCCCGGGCGGAGCTCCGGCCGTTGCCGCCCCCGCCTCGCCGCTGGGCAGCGCGCGGGAGGGGAGGAGGGTCTGGCCGGCTCTGCGCCCCGCCTCGGCTCCGCGGGCGGCGCTTTAGTCCCGAAAGCAAAATGGGAAATGATCAATGGGACCACAGGAATTATGCAACCAAGGCGGCTAAGGATCCGAGGAAGGAGCTCCAAGGATGTTCCTAAATGTTTGGCATAAATACGGATTTGAAATGCCTTCTGTGGAATAGAAATGGAATGCTCTTCAAAAAAAAAGAAGAAAATCATTTCGCTATTTGAAAAAAAATTGAAAGCATGTAATTTGTAAGAAATGCATATTAGAAAAAAGGACAAAAATACTTGCCTTATTAAAAAAAAAACAGGTGAAGAGTTTATTTCAGTAGGAACCAAAACGAGAAAATAACCAACTTCGTTGTATAGTATATGATGTACAATGACAATAATATACTAAATGGAGCTCTTTAGTTGGGAACATCAGTGAAGATGGAGCTTTTCAATGCACAATGAGGCATCCTGCCAGAAAAGTCTACACAAAATGGGTGTTAGGTTCGGGAGGCTTTCCTTTATAATTGCTTGAACTCAGTTTTGTGGCCTTAAAATAATAATGTTTTGGTCTAGATATGGAATCTAGATACAGAAAAAAAAGCAGATAACAGCTACATAAAACACTGTGATATATTTGAAAATTAACAGCTCATTAAACCTTTGGCCAGGTGGGATCCCCTTGTCTGCTCCTTCCATTGGTTGATAAGTGGCCAGTTTGGAGGCGGAGAGGGCCGTTTCCTGGCAGCCGCTCTTGTATCTGGAACAGGCCGGCCTTTTTCTGTTCCCAAGAATACATTTTTGCAGGAATCGGAGCATGGGAAATCCAGAATTCTTCATAAATAGATAAATTCTAGGAATATCATTTAATAACATATAGTACTAACCTCTTTAAATCCCAGCTTTCTTACTGAAATCATATTAACAGTATTAAGAATATTCAAGCAGTATAGAACAGAGTGTTGGAAGAAATATCCATCTGGTTCAGTTCCAAGCTGGGACTATTCTATTAGCTGTTGCCAGATTCCTATGGGGAATGTAATGTAGCTCTGTGTCTTCGCTTATGTCCTGAAGGATCGTGTCCTGCTCTTTATACCATCACCCTGGAGCTGAAGGTCTTTTGTTTTGTAGATAGGCTGGCCCAGTCTTTCTTAATGGGCACAAAATATCTGCTGGGGGAGTGGGCTAGACTGAGTCTGCTTTCTACCTTTAAAAAAACAAGTCTCTCCATTTCTTATTTAGAGAAATAGTATATCTTGCCCTTTTAATATCCCTCAAAATATTTCATTCTTCTAGGAGTGGGGGCTTCCCACAAGAGAAAGGATCAAATGATACATGTTAAGGTACCTTCAGACTTCTTAATCTCCAGCATAGAAAGGTAGATAGGACAGCCTTTTAAAGAATACCATGAAAATGCATTTTTCACGAATTAAGTTTCATCTTAAGTTTTACTTATGTATTTCATATATCATCACAGCATACTGCCATGGGTGATTTATAACAATGACAAAATATAACAGTAAAGTGCTACAGTAAATTAAAGTTAAATTAAGTCAAGAAACAAGCTAACAATACGATGATTCATCACTAAGCCCTCCAGAATATATTTTTTTTTAAAAAAAATTATTATTAAAATATAAACACAGATATAAAGACAATACAATACAATACAATACAAAGACAAACAAAAAACCCACCACCTACAAACCCACCTAACATTTTACATTAAATTAAATTACGTTAAATTAAGTCAAGAAACAAGCTAACAGTACGATGATTCATCACTAAGCCCTCCAGAATAACTCGGTCTTAACTGGTTTTCAGAAGGCTACCTCAAGAGAACCCTTGGGGGGGAGGCCATTCCAGAGGAGAGATACTTGCGTTTTGGCCCCCTTCACTTTCCCCAATCAGGCCCTTGAATCTGATTGGGGGAGGCAGAGCTGAAAATGCCAAGGTGCCAAGCTATTTTGGGCTTTATAGGTTAAAACCAGGAGACTGAATGGTGGCTATTGCAACGCCTAGAGCTCAGGGTCATCTTCATCAGCTGGTGCAGAGTTGAGTCTCATCTGCAGATTGATGATACTTCATCAAATTGCATGATTTTCAACAGATGGATCCACAATTGGCTCATCAACCACACCCAGTGTATCCTCAATGGAACTATATCTACTTGGGGGGGAAGCATGCAGTGGGGCAACCCAAGGTTCTGTCGTAGGCCCAGTATACTTCAAAATCTTCATCAATGATTTGGACGAGGGGATAGATGGGGAACTCAACAAATTTGCAACGACACAGACTGGGGAGAATAGACAATACAGAGTTTAGCATTGGGCCCTATTCAACAAGATGCACTTCTGATGGACTTCCGGTCAACACCGCAGGCTCCGTGGACGGTCTTCTAAGACCGCCAGCCCTGCGTCTTCGAAAAAAGCCGCTTTGACAGCGCTGTCTGGCGGCTGAAAAACCTCTCCTTCAGGAAAAGAAGGAGAGGAGAGCCGGTGGGTGAGAGTAGAGCTCCCCGAAAGCCCTCTGGAACATTTCCAGAGGCTTGGAGGGTGAGAGCTCCCCAGCCAGCCCACCAAGAAGCTCCGAAGCCAGGACGACTCTGTGAAAGCAGAGCAAGAAGCCGCAATCTGATCCTGCTTTTAAAAGTGAGTTTGACTGATTACAAGCGCAGGCAGAGCGGAAAACAGGAGAACAAGCTTTAAAAGTACAGAGCTTAACTCTGAAGTTACTTTGTTTCAAACTGAATCTCATTGAGCTGGAGGCTGAAGATGGCGTCTTTGTTATAGTTTTGAAAGTGAAAGCCAGAAACGAAAGTGCTTGAGAACTTTGTGCTGGGAAAGTGGATTAACTGTTTATTAACTGCTGGGAAGTGAGAGCTTGTGGGAAAAAAAAATTATCCTGCCTGATAAATTAGAGACTATAAATTACAAATATTTTAAAGTTGTTTAAAGACTTTGTGGCTTTGGGGAAAAAAAAAAGATGAAGATCTCTTTAAAAGAGGGGGGGAAATGGCTTCTAGACAAGTGAAACCAGGAGTTGTTAAAGGAGGGGGAGGTTCTCCAGTTGTGTCAGTGGTGACACAGAAAGCACAACTTCCGGCTGATTCACAGAGTCAGAGTCAAGATGCAGCACTTAATGATTTTAAAGAATTTATGAAAGAAGCTATGAATAATCAAGCAACAGCAATGAAAGAAGCTATGAATAATTTAACATTACTTGTGGAAGGGAAATTAAAGAAAGTTGAGGAGGATATAAGTTCAATCAAGGAAGTGGTTGCAGAGAAACACGATGAGATAAGAGAGGATATTGTTTATGCTGTATCAGGATTGTCAAACCTTGTTATCCAGCTTGATGGGAAAGTTGAAGAAATTAATCAAGCCAATTTAAATTTGGAAAGCAAAATGGGAGATGTTATGACCAGAACAGAGAAAGTGGATGATGAATTGGTAATGTTACAATACAGGTCCATGGAGTTTGCTCTGAGATTGAGAGGCCAGAAGGAAAATAGCAAAGAAAATTTAAAAGACATTTGTGCTGATGCTATGGCAGAGATAATTAAAGAAAGACCAGAAGATGTGGCAAGCCAAATTGATAAAATTTACAGGGTTAATTCCTGACTGGCAAAACAAAGGCAGCTGCCAAGAGATGTGGTGATCTACTTTACAACTAGGCGGATCAGAAACGATATCTTCCAAGCTTCCTACAAGAATAAGGTTCAGGTGGCTGGGCAAGAGGTAGTGGTTTTGAAAGAGATTCCTCCAAAGATGCTGAGAAGTAGAAAAGACTTTGGCTTTTTGGTAAATGAGCTGAGAAATCAACAAGTGGCATACAGATGGGACGTTCCAATTGGTCTAATAGTGACTTATAATGGAGAAAGATACCAGTTAAACACAGTCTGGAAGGCAAAAGACTTCTATGTAAATGTTTTAAAGGCTGGATACCCACCCTCACCGGGGGGGGGGAAGGAAGAAAATGGAGATGTTACAACAAGAAAAAGATGGAAAGTAGATACAAACCTATGCTGAAGTTGCAGCTGGAGGAATTACCATGGAAGAAGATTTGGATCTTGGGGGCTTACCTCCAACTTTGGAACCACCTAAGAAGGGAGAGCCGGAAGACTGACCCGATCAACTTATAAACTTCAAGAACAACAATCAAAAAGGCAACAATCTCAAGATTTATCTCAAGAAGTTCAAAAAACAGAAGCAGTGTGTGTGGGGGGGGGGCTAGGCCGAAGGGTAAGGTGGAGGAGGAGCTTCAGCTGATGCTCATACGGCTTTGAAAGGCTAAAGATGGCAACTAAATTCCTATCTTGGAATGTCAATGACCTAAATTCACCACAAAAAAGAAAGAAAGTATTTCACTACTTGAAACAATTTAACAATGACGTTATTTGCTTGCAAGAAACATAGATTATCAGATCAAAAATATTTGATAAATTCAAGATTAGGTACACATTTTGTGGCATCAGCGCCAGAGAAGAAAAATGGTCTAGTCATATATGTAAGGAAAGGACTATCAGCTAATCTAATTGAGGCAGATGATCAAGGAAGATATATTGCAATTGAATTATCAACACAGACTGGAAAAATGCTTTTTATTGGAATATATGCCCCTAATCAGCAACAGGACAAGTTTTATAAATTTCTACATACTAAAATAATACAATGGGATTATAAATCTTTTATATTAATGGGTGACTGGAATGGAGTAATAGACACACAGAAAGATAAAAAAAAGTTTTATCAGAGATTTCAACACGTGCAAAATTACCTAAATCTTTTTTTGATATGATGGAAGATATAGAACTGAGAGATATTTGGAGAGAACGTAATGTGGAGGAAAGAGACTTTACTTTTTTTTCTGATAGACATCAATCCTTCTCCAGGATTGATTTTATACTAAC